GGTTCATCCAGATATACGGAAATTTACAGAAGAAGAAATTTGCAGGTCCAAATCAATTAAATCTGTAATGGATTTGGAAGAGCTCTACAACAGTCAGGTGAGAGAAGTGTTTCTGCAAGGCCTGCAATGCATATTATGTTAGTATTCTGGTTGGTCAGATGCTGTAGAGTTAGGAACCCGTCTCAAGAGTGTGTTGCTGGCAGGAGAAATCTGTGCTGAAACAGGTGCTCAATTCCTGCATCATTGCAATTTCATTACAGCCAAGAATGAGTAATTCTAGTAGTCTAAAAGCTGAAAAGCATTTTTTATGTTTACACAAAATAACTGATAATTACATTTAATAATTCCCAAAGAGTTGGAGAGACAGGTGGTGGCAACTTCAAAGTAAATTAATTGAAAGAGTGAGATTTCAAGATTGAAAGACTTTAAGAACACAAGGTCAATATGTGTGCAGCGTGAATGGCATTGATTTAAAGGGCTAAAATTTATTGGTTTTATCTTTAGTTAATTTAAATGTGTGTGGTTTTTTTTGTCCCTGTTTTTTTTTTTTTTTTTTAAACCAGAAAAATGTTCTGTGCAGGGATTGAAGCTTTCTCTTATTAGCGTGTCTCGATTTTTCAGCCAGTGGTAGCAACAGCCTGCATGGGCATAAATCACCCCATCTTTGTTCAGAAGCAGTTTGATTTCTGTATAGTTGATGAAGCTTCCCAGATAAGCCAGCCCATCTGTCTGGGGCCACTGTTCTGTTCCAAACGATTTGTGCTGGTGGGGGACCATCAGCAGCTGCCTCCACTTGTACAGAATTCAGAAGCAAGGTGAGATTTGCTGGACAAGTACCAGTAATATGAATTTTGGGAGGGCTTTTGCAGTATGTTGTCTGACATGCTTTTGTGAATTGTTTTCTTTGTACTAGAGATCTTGGTATGAGTGAAAGTTTATTTAAAAGGCTGGAGCAAAACCAAAATGCTGTTGTCCAGTTGACTGTGCAATACAGAATGAACAGGTATGTTGGTATGTTAAACTTATTTATTACAGCAGTTTTCCTTTTTTTTTTTTTTTTTTTTTTTTTTTAAACGTGGGATTGAAATTCCAAGATTTGACACCACTTCTTTCTTCTTCATCCTTAGTAAAATTATGTCACTGAGTAACAAGCTAGTGTATGAAGGCAAACTGGAATGTGGATCAGAGAAGGTGTCAAATGCCACTGCTAATTTGCCAAATCTAAAAATGCTGAAACTGGAGCTTGCAGATGCTTCAAAAATATGGTTGAAAGAAGTACTTGAGCCAGACAAACCTGTATGTTTTCTGAACACTGAAAAGGTCAAGTTCATTTATTTCTCTTCCGTTTAAATTTTGTTATATGCTAGAAAATCCATCTCACATGTAGAAGTCCATCTTCAATATAAGATTCATGTATTACAGCAGTCAAGCAAAATGAAAAGAATCCTCACCACAAAAAGTCTATTTTTATTATATGTATTGTATAAATGTGAAATCAGATGATGGAGCTTTGACAGTTTCTTGAGGTGAATTGCTCTTACTAGAAATTTGGAGTTATGAAATGGCTATTACTGGAAACAAGTTCTGTCTAATTGTTTCAGCATGTTTTGTAAATGCTCTGAGGTTAATTTCTGATACAGGTACTCTGTAGAATTTAGCATTTACCCCTACCTTAAAAAAGAAAGTAGCGTAAACACTGTATGATAGAGTGAGTTAAGGATTAGAATACAGTGCACCTTCAGAGATGCTCATTATTTTCCATTTATATTTTTAAAGGTCCCAGCACCAGAACACACAGAAAAAGGTGGTGTATGTAATGTGACAGAAGCCAAACTAGTGTTCTTCCTCACAACTTTATTCATTAAGGTATCTTTTACTTGAATGTTGCTTAAGAGGGAGTGTTCTGTAATTAATCTCACGTTGCTGTGGAAATTCTGACTATGTGTGTGTGGTTATTCTTGGAGGGATAACTGTGAGGGTAAATTCATGGTTGGCTTTGTGTTGCTACGTAAAGGGTCTGAAGTCTGCATTCAATTCCCTGTCGCATGCCTGGTTGGAGTTTGGGGTGAAATAAAAGCTGAGTGCTAAATGCTTTAAGAGATGAGGATGGGCTTTCTTGTGAGGGGGAGGGGAAGGGATTTGCCTTTCTCCCTTATTTCACAGAATCACAGAGTTGCACAGGTTGGAAAAGACCTAAAAAGATCACCAAGTCCAACTGCAACCTAACCACACTACCCTAACTCTAACCACCCACCGCTAAATTATGTCCCTGAGCACCACATCCAAACAGATTTTAATCACATTCAAGGATGGTGACTCAACCACCTCCCTGGGGAGCCTATTCCACTGCTTAACAACCCTTTCTGTAAAGAAGTTTTTCCTGATATCCAACCTAAACCTCCTCTAGAACAACTTGAGGACGTAATCATCTTGAGGAGTGCTGCAGACTAATGAATAGTTCTGCATATTTACTTCCCAGTCTGAAGAAGAAAGAAGAATGAGGATTTTGAGAATGCCTGTCTATGCTAGGTGAAGACAAAGCTTGGGATCTTGCAGTAATTAATATTTTCCTTTATTTATACCAATCTCATTTAGAGTTCCATTGATTTCTTACTGCAGAGATGATAGCTTGCAGCACTACTTAAAAAAAAAAAAAAATCCTACAGGCTTCTTCAGCTGGAGAAAAAAAAAAGAAAAACAAGTTAACTACAGTGACTATTTTCTGTTTTTGCTTCACTTAGGCTGGCTGTAAGCCTTCAGACATTGGTATTATATCGCCATACAGACATCAGTTGAAAGTAATCACTGATTTGATGGCAAGACTGAAGGAGAGCAGAGTGGAAGTCAACACTATAGACAAATACCAAGGAAGAGACAAAAGTATCATAATTGTGTCTTTTGTTAGGAACAGTAACGATGAAAACGTGAGTTGTTCATCCTAACCTGACTTTCATTCCAGTTTAAAAACTATCCTGAACCTTAAACTTAGATACATTTTGAATTATTCACCTCTAATTCTGTAATTTACATGGGAAAAATAAAAGCAGATTGTTTATTTATCAGCTTGGTGCCCTCCTGAAGGATTGGAGACGACTCAATGTTGCTATCACAAGAGCCAAGCACAAACTCATCATGGTGGGCTGCGTTCCATCACTCCGCCGCTACCCTCCTTTGGAGAAGCTGCTCTGCCATCTGCAGTCTGAGGCAATGATATCCTTTTTCCACACTGTTTTGTGAAAGGGGGAAGGTAAGACTACTTTGGATAGGAGGTAAGAATGGGAAGACCTTTGATCGTTTAGATTATATTTGTAATGCTAATTGTCAGCACAGCATGCATGCATGCATGGTCTGCGTGTGCCAGGAGCAGGCTTTGATGACAAGCTAATAGGCAGATCAAGGACTTCCATTCTGTCTTGAAAAGTAGAAATATGGTGATTTGCAAATCAACTTTGATATAGCTTTTTATTTAAAATTTGATGAGTACATTTTTAACGCTTTTGCTTTCTGCATTTTCTTTTTCCCGATTGTCTTGGTTTCAGGGCATCTTCACATCAGTGTGATGACTATTTTTGGAAGAGCCATTTATTTAAATACCTATTGAGAGAATGCTTCAGGATTAAGGTTCCTAACTTAGAAAATTGTTTAACCTGTGACCTGTTCATCTTTTTCTCCATTCTTTCTGGCACTGTATCAAGTCTATTCTTGTTTCAGCTCCTTACATCTCCTATTTAAATAGGAAAGTTAGATGTTTTCTTTACAGATGACATCTGTACATATTCGTACACTTCCTGTTTGTTTTGTTTCTGAAAGCAGCACATCCCTAAGATGCTTACGAGCTATTTCCTTAACTTCCTACATCTTCAATCTTCCCTCAGGGGCTCATGAAGGTATCCACAAATGTAACATTTTATGATTGTGAAGACTGAGCGTTTTAGAAGATATTTCTTGTATATTTTGTTCTGGTGCTGCTGAATGTAAATTATTGCTTAGTGGAATGTGAGTGCTGACATGCACAGTTCAGTTTTGGCTTCATTCAGATTGAAATTATTTTCAATGATTTTAAATGTTTCTTTCAGTAAAAGTAACGATACACATTTCTTTAATAAACTGATTGTTGAGTTGGTCCTTTTAGAACCAGGGGATGTGTAACAAACCAGGAATGTAAAGTATTTCGTTCCTTCAGGTACTGTTTAGCTGTTTCTATGCTCATTTTTTATTTTGGTAAACACATTTCTGCTTTATGGATGGGGGGATAAGTTTGAGGAGGAGGCCTGGGCAGAGTTCAGTGCTGTACTGAGCCACTACTGCGTTCTCTGCGCTCAGTTTGATTTTACACATTAAAATGTAGGTCACATCCACTAATCCCATTTATTAACATTCCTAATTAAAATGCTGTGTTGTGTGGTTTGGGGAAAAAAGCCTCATGGTCTTTGATTTTTGCTTTTAAGTACAGAACATTCTAATTTTTATATATATAATGTAACGAATCTCTCAGCTGAAGCTCCCTTGCTTATTTCTGTAATCCCTTGTTTTTTCCATGCAAGTGGGACAAGGGTGATACGGATGCACTGAAGTCCTTTTTCTGAGCAGTTCGAGAGAAAGAAAGGAGCTGGACCAGCTCTCCCTAGCTGCAGCTCTGCCTGCAGCTCGTAGTTGTTTCAATCCACCAAACGAGGAACCAAGTGGTTCACATTCCTTTGACCTGTGTCACCTCTGAAACTTTCTCGTACAGGCACAGTCCGTGATGCCAGGTTTTGAGCAATCCTCCGTGCTCTGCTCTTTCCTGGGCTAATTCTAAAAGTAAAAACGAGCGTGACCAGAAACAGCGTATTTCCGTCCTGAAATGCCCGCGCCTTCCTTCCCCCACAGCGAGGCTCGCTAACATCCCGCGCAGGGCCGGAGTATCGCGATAACTGCGAGCTGCAGTGGGGGGCGGTCTTCCCGCCGCAGGGGGCGCCCTTGGGGCCGGGCTCCGGCAGCAGCGGGTGGGGTGGGGAGGGAGGAGGCGCAGGGAGCGGCCGGGGCGGTGGCGGCGGCTCCTCCTCCTCCTTTCCAGCCATGGGTGAGCGGCGCCGGGCCGGGGGCTGCGGGGTATTGGGGGCGCGAGCAGAAAACGTCCTCTGTCAGGCTTCGAGGGGCGGCAACGCGGCCGGGGCCGTGGCTGCGGACGGTTGTTGCGCGGGAGCCGAGGGCTTTCTGCCGTCTCAGGAGGGCGGAGCGGCGGTGGGAGGCGAGGGCGGGACCCCGTCGCATCCGTGGTGCGGAGACCGCTCGATATTCGCTGCGCGGCTCGTCCCGTATGCGGGGCGGGGGGCCCTCCGCGGTGTTCCTGGAGCGGCCGCCGGCGGCCCGTGCAGCCCGCGCGTTGCGTCTCAGCAGCCGCGTGAAAGCAAAGAGCGCCGTGCGGGTGGGTCGGGCTGGCGCTGAGCGGGGGGCTGCGTGCTCTCGCAGGGCTGGGGCTGCTCAGCACCTCGCCGGCTGTTCGTGCTGCCAGCTGTGTGACAGTGTTTTCTATTGAAGTGCCTGTAAATTGAGGCTACGTGGAAGTAATCGTTAAGGTCGTCTTAGGTGCGTTACCTCAGCAATGCTGCTTTTCTAGAAGAAGTGAGGTAGGCTGTGTGCTACTTTGGTGCTTGATGGGCAGTTAGGAATAGAGAACATTAAGAAGGTAGTTTTCTAAGCTTCTGATGTCTAAAAGCCTAAAGTGGTGCCATTAAAGAAGTCAGACAAGTGATTGGATTGCTTTTGGAGTAACCCAGTGAGAAACTGGCTGTTATAAAGAAAATGCACACACACGCATATATAATATTTAATTGCAAACAGCAGAAAGCAATAAATCATAAACTTCTTTTCCTTCTTTCCAATCCTTTTGATCCTGGTGAATGAACAGTGTGGCTTTGTCTCGTGTTTCCATTTGGTAAAATAGATGGCAGCCTGAGTGTTTGAGATGCTTCATTATGAGTGAAAATGAAGTAGGAATCTCCCGAATACTGCTCTCATTAGCTGCAGCTCTAAAGAGAGGAACCTTGTCTGTTCTGTCTGATTAGAGTGACTTTGAAAAGCTGTGGGAATCTTACTGATAAGGTTTAACCCCTAAACGTAAATTTCTTCATGTACGTTCTGGACAGTGCGTTTTTAATTAGAACTATTGGCAAAAGCTTTATTTCCTACACTTAGATTTTTTTCTGCCTAGGAAATATTTTGTATCTATAACAAGGATCTTGGGTTTTCATTTTTACTTATTTTTGTTATTGTAAAGAAAAAAAACAAGTGTGCATACATTATGTTTTCATGAAACCACTCTAGATTTACTCACTGAGAGTAGCTCCAGCCTCAAACGGAAAACATATCCTTTAATCAAGTAAAGGATAGTAGAGCCACTATGGAGAATAATCCTATAGAGGAGAGAACTGTTGCGAGCCTATTATGCTACAATATACCAAGCAGGAATGCTTTCTAGATGCGGTGGTAAGGGCACTGATTGCTCCTAAGCAGCTGAGCGTTTTAGCACAGCATTGATGATCATGCTACCTTGTTTCTGACTGCTACCGAGAGGTGCAAGGACAACAAGGTAACTGAGAACTGATGTTTTTGGCCTTCATTTTTGATTCACCTGTTATAACAGCATAGGATCTGTGAAGGTGTTTGTTCTGGACCATCCACCTCTCTATGACGTGGTGGCCTGTAGCACTTACTGAATTATTCCTTTGAATTTACCTAGTTTAAGGTAAGCTTTCTTTGAGCAAGGCAGCTATGAATCATTTCATCGTTTTGCATCCTTCTAAAACTTGAACCATGACATTTTTTTCTTTCTTGCCTTAGCTGTAAAAGATCCAACAGCTGTAGAAAGAGCAAATTTACTGAACATGGCTAAACTGAGTATTAAAGGACTCATTGAATCAGCTTTGAGCTTTGGCCGTACTCTGGATTCTGACTACCCTCCTCTGCAGCAGTTCTTTGTTGTCATGGAGCACTGTCTGAAGCATGGCCTTAAAGGTGTGGTGGTTATTCTAGATGCATGTTTCTCATCCCAAACATGCAGTCTTTCTTCCTTTCTCTGTTGAGTAAGATCTAAGTGTGTGCCTATTTCTTTAAGAAGAGAGTAAAGTATGTAAATTCTCTCCTTCTGTAATTGATGCTGTCACTAGTACTTCACAACTTGCATTTCTGTGTCTGCCAACTTTTTGCTTTGTAAACTGTTTATTGTGAGTGATCCAGGAATTCAACATCTGTATGTGTGTAGCATGTAACTAGACATTTTTTTTTTATTGTCTTGTTCTAGCAGCAGCAGTTTAATGTTCACAGCAAAGTAATTTATAAGATGACTGGGCACTGGTGAACTGGTCAGCTATTTTTGAAGGAAACTGCTCCAGCATTTCAATTAACTCAGTGATGTTTTTTGTTTTCTAGTAAGAAAATCCTTTTTAAGTTACAATAAAACTATCTGGGGTCCTTTGGAACTTGTGGAGAAATTATATCCAGAAGCTGAGGAAATAGCAGCAAGTGTCAGAGATTTGCCCGGCCTTAAGTAAGTTGTGTTGGTAAAATATACTGCAAGAAATACAGGATCTGAATCAGAATTTACAGTTGTCATTATTTAATTTGGCTTTAATCAAGCCTTTGAACAGCTATCACCTGATATTGGGGGAGTGCACAGGGGGATCTTGTTGCTGCTTATGTTCCCCATGAAAGACCTACGAAAGTGGGAATTCTGTGTGCTTTTCTGATATTTCTGGGAGAAAACTTCTCTGAGCAGTGGACAAAACCAGTACAAAAAGGAATAGGTTCTGCATCACAGTCTACAGTCTAGAACTGTAGCAAATACATACTCTGAACGAAAAAGAAAGGTACCATACTGAAGTGAAAAGAATGGGATGGCTCTTTGGATTCTCATAGAAATATCCTCCAGCGCAGGATCTTTCTGGAATATGAATTTATGCTGTAGGCTACAGTCTCTTTCCATCCCTCTGCACTCTGCTTTTGCATCTAGCTGTGTAGCTGACTGCATATTCAATTCTGAAAGGGCTTGTTTACATCGAGAGTGATTATGTGGTTAGCATTAAGATTGTAAGTTTTAGCTTTAGACCTCATCTAAAGTATATGGGTATACTAATTATTATTTACTCTTGTATCAAGCTTGATGATCAACCTTTGGTTATGTTGTACTTTCCATCTTGATATAGCATATCAATGTGGGTTTTGACTGTTTTTTTTTTTTTCCCCTTTTCCACTTCTGTGCACATCACTTTGTAAGTGCATACCTACAGGAAAACGTTCAGGTTTAATTTGTTAGATATTAATGTTTACTAGCTAAATTTGCCATCATTTTCTTTGAATTATCTTATTAAGGTACCACAGTTTTTGAAGATATACAACTTGAAGTTAGAACATGGCGTGTGTTGTGTAGAGTTGTACTGTGTTGTTCAGTAGTTTAAAAACTATTTCTGAAACCAGAATAGTTTTGGAAATGTGAATTGCTCTATCGGTAGACTGATAAGATAATCAAGACAGTAAATTAATCGATATATTGTTGATTTTGGACTGTTTGTTTTCTCCATCCCCTTTTTCCAGAACACCACTGGGCCGTGCCCGGGCCTGGTTACGGTTGGCACTAATGCAGAAGAAAATGGCTGACTATCTTCGCTGTTTAATCATTCAGAGAGAGCTTCTCAGGTAAATAGATTTTGTTTAGAATTTATTTTTATACATGTAGTCTCCTGAAAAATAGTGTTTCCTATTTGCTGCTTTTTAATATATCCTTAAAAAAAAAAAACAACAAACAAGACATGGCTTCTGGCATCTGGGCTGATTTCCTCCAGTCCTTGTGATCAAGAGACCAAACCCTGTTGTCTCATGAAGATTGAGGGCCAGCTGATGGATGAAGAGATGTCTCCCCCCATCATCTGCAGCGTGCCTCACTGCTCTTTCATTGATGAGGGGATGGGGAAGGGCTCCTGCTGTGTTCCTCAGCCATGCAGAGTGTGGATTGGAAGCATGTGGAGAGAAGATTAATTCACCCTTACCATATGCATGGTTTCCTCCTAATCAGCCATTGTGTGGAGGATTGCTGACTTGAATTTGCCCTTCCTTTCACAGTTCTAAATCTGACACTGCTTTCTTCTAGTATAATTTCTCCTTTGTGATGAGCTGAGTGAAGCACAAAGGAAAGAAGGACTTACCATCTTATTTTCAGTTCTGTCACTTGTGAATATTTTGAAGAATTGTTGTTTACCTCAGATAATGCTGATGCGTCAGGATGACATTGATGGTCAACAGTGGTGGACTTTTCTACTGAATGAGCAGTTTGTTTCATAGGGTCTAAAGTTTATTTAGAGAATGCAAGGAGGATATTGATGTTCTGTGGCTTGGAGTGTTTTTCTTTTAAAAACCTTTACATAATTTCATTTCTTCCTGTTTTTCTTAAACCCTTTAATCTCTTACTTTGCTTATTTAATTTCAAGTATGTCTTCATTGATGTCCAGACTGTTTTATCACAAGAGTTCTGTCAGAGTGGCTACTACAAGCATACAGGGAAGACCCTTATTTAAAAGCAAGAGAAGTCTTCCTGCCAAAACTTTCCAGTCCTCCACCAGCTTGTGGGTTAGATTTCTGTAGCCAAAGGGTCTGTCTGTGTTTTTGGATAGCTTCTGAGGCAAACTGTGCTTCCTAGTTTTAAACATTCATGGAAGCAAAATGTGCGCAGTCTTAGCTTGTGTTTAAGAGTGCTGGAGGAAGATAAGAATCAAAGAAAGTTCAGATTCAGGAGTCACTTATACGTATTATATAACTATATATAATTATTATATATTATATGAAATATAATTCTATTTTATTACACGTAGATATACAGAGTGTACTAATTTAGATTGTGTTGTTATGTAACAGTGAATTTTATGAGTATCATGCGCTGATGATGGAAGAAGAAGGAGCAGTTATTGTTGGACTGCTGGTTGGGCTAAATGTAATAGATGCTAACCTCTGCGTAAAGGGTGAAGACCTGGATTCACAAGTAAGTCATTACAGGTAAAGTAACGTGCGGGCAGTCAACGAGCATTTTGTGTGCAGAGAACTTAGAAATCTGACCAGAATGCTCAGGGCATGATCCTAGGTCAGATGGGATGTTGTGTTAGCCTCAGTATCAGTTGGATCAGACCTTTGGATGGTGGTAATCACCAGAGTGCAAAGGTTTCATTGTCAAATGGATGCAGTAGTAGCAATGGGAGAGTTGTTTCTGTTCTAGTTGTGCTCATCCTTTTCTTTGGGCATTGTTCCATGTTCAGTTTATCCCGTTTGATCCATTTATTGTTGGAACACAATGGGAAAGCGAATAAAAGAAAAACTAGCATGCTTCACTTAGTGTAATAAAAGACCTTACAAGAGGGGGAGACTGCTGACAAAGCAGTATCAGTAGTGTATCAGTAGAGCTCTGTGTGCTTTGCAGGCTGTTTTGAATTCCAACTCCCATTTTTTTCTAAGTGAATCTTGATGGAATCTTTTTAAAGGCATACATGCAAGTATTTATAAACATATGTTAGTTGTGTTCAGCCCTGATTGTTTTTTTTTTTTTTTCCCAGATAATTTGGAGAATTTCTGAGTAGTTTAAATAGAAATTGTTTATTTCAAATGTTTGATTGAAAAAGCAATTTTTATGTCAAAGAAAAGTTCTAGCTAATAGGTTTTGTGTACTTTAAATCATAGGGTTAACAGAGTTTGTGCTAGTAACTCTCTAAGGTTTTAGGTACTGATATTACCTACCAGAAGGTACAATACAGAAAAGCATGTGACTATAGAAGCCTTATCAGTGTGCTTTCCTCAGTACTGAGAATTACTGTGTGTTATAAACTACAAAGTAGCTATTGCTAGCTGCATCTGTGCTATCTAGGTCACTCAGTGGCTTAGTTCCATGAGGGGAGAGAAAACTCATTTTGGGAAGGCAATTGTGGATGTCATGGTGAGGTTTTATAGGAATTCCCTTTGAAGAGTAGCATAAATAAGACATTTTCTTCAGAGAAACCAGAAGTGGTAAGCTGAATTAAGTAGAAAGAGACTTCTAAAGGATGGTTAGAATCACATCTGGGAGTATGTTTCTGGTGTGTTGGAAGATTCCTGTTCAATGGAGAAATGTGTGTTCACATTGAGGATTAAAGGAAAACTTAGGTAATATTTTGCTAAATATGTTTAAATAAAAGTTTTTGGAGGAGAGACTATAGGAAAGATGTGGAAAGAACAGACAGAAGACTGTGATAGGAAATGCATGGGAGAACGATGTACAGTCCAAGGAAATGTAGTGAGTTATTTGTATGCAAAAGCTAAATGGAGCTGAAGAAAGAAGCAGTAGATCAGAGAAATGGAAATATGATTGTAACGATGGTGCTAGAGATAAGAAAGGAATACTTTTGGTAAAGCAAATGAGTTACATACAGAACTGTGAATAGATTTGGAAGCAGAGCTCAAGGTGATAATATTTATGGTATATATGACTGAATTACAGTTGAATAGAAAGTAAAGATTGAGATTTAGCAAAGTTTAAAAGTAGAAATGGAAAGTTGTGTGTGCATACCTGGTAGTCAGCAAGTGCAGAGAGGTAGTGCTATTGGGCATGGAATTTTGAGAAGTTAAGCATGGGAGAAACATCATGGGTGGTGTGCTGTGAAAGATTGTTACATGAAATACCACAGACTAATTATCTCAAGCTTCCTCAGTCACCTATAAGGTTCAGCAGTACTGGAAATTTTCCTATGAGCTCTTGGCTAAGCTCATTCAGGTTTGAGAAGTCATCATTTCTTCATACTGAGAAGGATTTGGTTCATGGTTTGTTTTTGTTTCCAAGGAAACATTTTGAACAGATCAATGAGACTGGGCCTGTTAGTTCAAAATGTTGCTGTTCAGTTCTTCTGAACTTCACTTAAATAAACTGAAACCTTTTGAAAAGCTGATGTAACCGAGGTTTTGGGAAATGGATACAAAACCCTGAATGTGGACAACAGTTACTTTCACCATATGAAACTGTATACATTTGTTTGCTCCTAGGTTGGTGTGATCGATTTCTCTATGTATTTAAAGAGTGACGATGACATTGGAGGAAAGGAAAGGTATGTCCTCCCTAAATCTCTCAGATTTGGGATATTAACAAATAATTTCTTGATTGATGAGCTGTCCTTTGTAGAACCAAAGTTTCCTAAAAGCAAAATGTTATAATCTCACAGTCTTGAGGAGAATGGCACACTACACTGTTCCCTATTACTGGTTCGTTATCAGAATGTGTGCGGTCTGGATCAAGCTAAGCAACTTCACCTACTGCACTGACCTTGATGGACAGTACTGAAGGATTGCAAGGTAGCTGAGTAAAGGAGCATATTTCAAAGAACCAGAGTTATGACTGAGTAAACAGAAGTTATTTGCAATTAAAGCAGTGGGGTTTTTTTTGTTTCTCTCACTGTTGTCACAACATGTAAGTTACTCACTTCAAGACTGTGAGATGAAATTGCTTTTTATTATTATTATTTTGAAGTACAAAATGTGAACATTTGCATTTGAAGTTTGCAGAACATAATTCACTATGTCATTTTGTTAAAGCCCAATTTATGGTTTTCTTGCTTTAGAAATGAACAGATTGCTGCAATTTTGGACCAAAAGAATTATGTTGAAGAACTAAACAGACAACTGAAGTAAGTATTACTTTGAAGTATGCATGTCTGTTCAGGCTTACAGGTAAAATGCCTCTACCTCCCTCCATTTCTACCACAGCTTTGTGAGAGAGAACTTCAGGGAAATGGGTGAATATTTTTCATGTTTAAACTGAGGATGTAGAGAGGCTGAAAGGTGTCTCTTTTTCGGAAGGTTGAGGGAGGAAATCTGTTTTCATGCTTCTGTTTTTGATAGTCAGAACTTTCTGAGAGAGAAATAGCAGGGCAAAATTGATTGTGGTGTTCAGGATTTATAACTTCAAATGAAAGAAAAACTTGATCTGGGTGCATTGTCAGAAATACCATTTTAACTGCAGTCTGTTTAACAACTGTCAGTTTATTATTGTGTGTTGTGGATGAATCTTCGTTTTGCATCTTGCCTTGGCAAAAAAAAAAAAACAAACTGCTCAGATCTCCCTCTGTAGAATCTGTAGTGTAGCTGATCTTGGTCCCTTTTTGACATGCAATTATATTTATTCATGTAATGCTGATGATCTCAGCTGTTGGTCACTATGTGGCTGCAGTTGGGGTGTGGATGTTTTGATTTGAAACAGCGTCAGTCACTGAGCAGAACCGTCCTAAGGGACACAGAATCTTTGGGCATCCAATACAAGCAAAATTATACTCTATTGAGGAGAAAAGAACTGTCACAGTTAAGCATGGGGGTGGTTGCTTAGTAATAGCTGTCATCATTCAGGTGAGAGCTGCTGTATGTTACTGTACACTGGTTTATGCACAAAGTTACTTGCAAACCAGTGCTTCAACAGCTCTCTTCATTTTTAAGGTTGGTTATTTCTTTTCACACACCATGAAATGTGTCAATTTCTTCTCCCTTGCCATTCTTCATGCACTGATGGCTTTTGTAGACCCCACCACAGAAATGGGTGGGAAAGTCAGTGGTGTTTCAGGATAGGTGTTTTTTTCAGTGCAGAAAGGGCAGCATAAAATTATGCTTAGAGCAGAGATGGGCTGTCAGGTGATGGAGAAATTCTGGTCAAAGGATGTCTTTTTTTTTTTTTTTTTTTTTTTTGTGACAAGTGTTGTGAATTAAGGCGAGAAGCAGCAAGAAGGAGGGACTCTGAGAATAGTATCAAAAACTGGGGAGAAACAGATGGTTTTATAAAAGACGAATGAATTTATAAAGGAAAATGAATTTTTGGAGAAAGAGAATCCAGAGCATGATTTTCATTATATATGGGCTGGGGGGCTAGGAAAACAAGATTGCAAATCCATTTTTAAGCAAACTCCTTAAACATTTGGGTACAACATGATCCAAAAACTGGTTCAAGTGACCAGGATGACATTGAGCACTGGGCAGAAGTATATAAACATTTGTCAGAGGAGCGTGATTTCCTTTTGTTTAAGAAAACCTCAAATAATGGGAGAAAATCTTTTGGCTCTTATTAATGGTTAATGACTGTATGTCACAAGAAAGCTTTTGAGCTTGGTTAAGTGGGTTTTGATAGAATTCTGAGTAATGATTTCTTTCTTTCTCTCTCTCAGTAGCACAGTTAGCAGCCTACATGCAAGAGTTGATTCGTTAGAGAAGTCAAACACTAAACTGATTGAAGAGGTATTATTTTTTAGTAACATACAATACATGTGCTTTGATATCACACTTCTTTAATAAAGATGTTTAAATTATTTTAGTCTAGAATATGTTCAGATGTTTTTAATTTATCTTGAAGAAAAGGTGCAGTAGCTGCAGGAGTTTGCAGTCAGCTTGCTTAGGTAGCATGCAGCATCAGTAAATGATTTCTACAGAGCATGACAACTTCCCACTCGGGTCAGCAACAGAAAGTAAGCATTTCTTCAGGCCAGCTGTCAGGCTGATTTTGTGCAGCCAATTAGTGCTTGATGGATGACACCAGTTGATACACAGACAGAAAGTGGTTCAGTAAGCAATTTCCCTTACAGTTCTCAGCATTAGCTGAATAACTGCTTGCTTATTTACCATATGCAGTCTTTACATTTGTCTGGATCTGGTATTGCATTTATTTCTTATATTTTCGGTTACCTTTGCTACTTCACTAGATTTTAAATTCTTTAGCTTTGTAAGAGTGAGAGCCTTTCTTTTTAACACAAGCTGACTGAGAAATAGTGAATGAGGTGGAAACTGTGAATGTCTGAATTCAGTTGTGGAAGGAATAGCTAGCTTACGGTGGGTGCTCATGTGTTCAGAGAGAGGAAAACTTTTTGTCCTGAGTGTTAATTCTCTGAGTTTTCAGTCTCCTTTACAAACCATCATCTTTAGCCATCCATCTGTTCTGATCAGCTGGCTTGTAGGCCCAATGTTAAGGGTATATAATAAAGGGTCCAGTTATAATGTTTTCTCTTCTGTATATATATTTTCTCTACGTCTGGGAGAGCCTTTCTTATTTAAATTGCTTCGTATGATATATTAAGTTGTCCAGAAAGAACAAAATTGGATATATTTCAATTCAAACAGAAAGAGAAAAATATAGGATGAGAAAAGGGGATTGAGGCCCGTTGAATCATAATGAAACTATGAAAAGAAAGCATATTTTCTTTGTCAGACATAAAATAATGAAGTATCTTGGATATGCATGCTGTTAAGAATTAAACCTTTCTTTGTTAGGCTGCAGGAACAGGGCAGAGCATTCTTGGTCTCACATTCATCATAATGCTTTGATTTTTTTCCCCACTTATAACAGTGCTCACTTTCTATTTGTTATTTTTCATCATTATTGCAGTTAGCAATAGCCAAAAACAATATAATTAAACTTCAGGAAGAAAATCATCAATTAAGAAGTGAAAATACTCTGATCTTAATGAAAACACAGCATCATCTAGAGGTATGGAAGTTTTACTTTAATATAGTGTGGTTCGTTGTCATTTGACTGTCCTTCCTTTGCAGCTTGAAGAAACCATTAGTTGGCCAAATTTAAAACAGCTCTTTTTTTTTTTAATGGGAAGAACCTGTTAGATTTGGGAAGCTTTATAATAGTTTAAATAGGTTGAAGGTACAGGATTCTAGGTTGTTTTATAAATATATATGTATTAAAAAAATATATGTATATATATGTATATTTAATTTAAGCTGCATCTTAAGGGCATCTAGGAGTATTATCTGAGAATCTTGTCAAAATAGAGTGTTTTGGCTGGTGAACTGTGTTGTGACCTTTCTTATTAAAAGAATGATACATCATTTAGAATAAATGTGTGTACAATTGCTTTTTAAGCTGTAATTTGTATCTCCTTATGTAAATCCCTCTACAGGATAAGAGGTAAACACCCTTTACAGGTAAAAGTACAGATTTGTTGTGTGTTTGGATTGCTGAGTATTCAAACAGCAGTGTTTTGGATTGACTGAAGGATAAGGCATACTGTAGTACAGTTTATTTTGCTACTTTACTCAGTTCTCATAAAACTGATGACCACTAAGCAGAAACAGAAGCTATTTTCCTGTTTGTACCGTGATTGGAGTTTATGGCATTAGTGGCTAAACTTGTAATGAACAAAGATTCTGCATATCCTCCTAGGTAACTAAAGTGGACGTTGAAGCAGAACTTCAGACATACAAACACTCCAGGCAGGGGTTAGATGAGATGTACAATGAAGCACGGAGGCAGCTTCGAGAGGAGTCACAGCTCCGCCAGGTGAGCGCTCGTTCATTGAAGGACCCAGCATTTCTAGGAAGGATGATACTCGAGTCAGTGTATAATTATTTCTAGTTTTGGTTTGGCTCAGGTTAAGCTCTGCCTTTAATGCAGTGTTGTTTCCATAACAGCAGACAAGGAGAGGTTTTCTAAAAAAGCAGTCAGTGCCTTAGTATTTCTGTAACAATGTTGCTAAAACATAGTAAGGAAAATAGAATTTCTTTGAGAATGTTTTAGATAGGGAGCACTGCATGTTCTGTATGTATGTTAACTTTTTCTTGCAAAAATAGAAATCCTGTAGCTCTATTTTTGAAATTAATACTTAGCTCTGTGTCTACGAGAAATGATGTGGTATTGTGTACTGCAAGTTCTCTTATCCAAAAGTGTTTTATTTCTTTTCTTTTTTTTTCAAGCCTAAGTCACTAAGTACAGGAGCGTAATGCTCTTGTAGTAGATCATTGCTTTGCCCAGTTGCAGAGAGTTTTGTGTTGGAATGATGTTGCTGCAGCTCTGTTAGCTTTTCTCTTTCTAAAACGTAGATAAAACATTGCATCATTGGTGAAGGATTTTGTGTTGTGTTGTCTGTGTGTTTTGTAGGATATGGAGAATGAGCTGGTAGTTCAAGTTAGCATGAAGCATGAGATAGAGCTTGCTATGAAGTTACTGGAGAAGGACATCCACGAGAAGCAGGACACGCTCATAGGCCTTCGGCAGCAGCTTGATGAAGTTAAAGCAATTAACATGGAAATGTACCAAAAGCTGCAGGTAAGGTCTGCTGTTAATGTGATGAAACAACAGCAGTAAGAGAGATGCATTTCCATTATAGATACTGCCATTTGTCTAATTACTGCTTTCTTTCGGCTTCCTAGGTCAGCGTGTTTGTTTGGACCATTACTGATGCTGGTGTGATTTAACACAAGGTGTTGTTAAAGGCAGTCACTTCATCACTTCATTTTCTTGAGATTATGGGAAAGCAAATCATAAAAATAAGAGCATGGCCTTTTAACTTCTTATGTGGAATAGAATAGTTGTATACCTAGTGGTGTTCACACTCCTTGACCTGTCCAGTCAGGAAAATGAGAAATACAAAAGGTGCAGTCATATAGTGATATTAAAGGGAAGATGTGAGCATTCAAAGCAATGCAAAGCATTTTGGAAACAAGATTTTGTGTGCTGTTAACAAATAAAGAAAATCTGTAGTGTGCAAAGCTAAAAAATGTTTTGGGAGAGTATGGATTTCAGAGACCCAATGTTCATTTAACAAAACACCAGGGAAATTGAGCATTAAATTCTTTATGCAGAAGGTTTGATTTAGGGAAGAAATAATCAAAAACAACACAAGAAAACAGTCAAATTCTGGCAGAGTGAGTGGGGAAAAATAAGAATGCTGCAGAGAGATAAGTGAGGTAGTGGACAGAGGATGTTATTTTTCCACTGAAAGCAGTGAGGAAGCTGGATTTCAAGAGAGGAAATGCAAATAGAAAGAAAAGGAAGATGGGAATGTAATCAGGACTTGTAGATTTTTGTTTTTTGAAGCTGTGCTTCTAGGGAAGGTGATTTTATATAATAATGTTCATTCTCATTTTTGAGTCAACTAAACAGGTAAAACAGTTTAATCATGCCCAATTTCATGTTCAGGAATCCATTAATAGTGTTGGTCTGTATTGTGAGGGTGAAGCTCACCCTTGTGTTTGGGTCTTCTAGCTGGGACTGTGACAGCTATGCAAGCAATCAAAATGGTACAGCATGGTAGGAAAATTCCTAAAATATTTGCAGGCACATTAGGTAAAGTCTGGTAACAGAGAACCTTTGTCATTTCCAGGACTCAGTATCTTAGTTTGTTATTGGTAAGGGTCTAATGAACAACTTAAAAAGGTGATCAGTGAATTTAAGTTGACTTACAAAATGAGTAAGAAAGCAAACAAAAATGAAAAGTTCCTCCTTAGTAAACTGCAGGTTTGCTAGGTGAAATTCAGTGAAATTCAGTGTCAGTACCATTCTAACAGTTTTTCTTTTCAGGAGAAAAAAAGTCTCCTTGGAGTAACAGTGCAAAACTACTTTGTCTTTGACCTTCTTTGTAACCAGGTTTCTGAAGATGCTATGAAAGAAAAGAATGAAATAATTGGTCGATTAGAGGATAAGACCAATCAAATTAATGCTGCTATGAAACAACTAGAACAAAGGTACAGATCCATCTTTGTTTTCCTTCATTCATTTCTCCATCCCTGTATATTTTACTGCATTCCCACACTGTTGCCACTGAAATGTAACTTTAAACTAGAAAATTTTAAAGGAAAATTTCTGAAACTGTAACTAGTGCTTTATGGATTGATTTTTGTTTTTCTTTTTAGCAAATGCTCTTATTTTAAGTAAAAACTTAATCTTTCATTTTTCTTTGTCTGCTATCTTTCTTCTTTTCCCCAGTTTTTGTGCTAATAGCAAAAGCTGTTATTTCAGCTGTTAAAAATGTGGATTCGATGTTAGCTTTTTTTTTTTTTCTCCATCTGAATGAAATGCAATAGTAACCAAAGCATTGATGTTGCTTATTCCATAAGCAAGATTATTTGATATAAGCATTTACTGCCTTAATGAATCACTGCTGAGTTTGCTGAAGCTATTGAAAATCATTCAGTTGCTTTAGCAACTTTTATTTTTATTATAGGGAGTTTTTACACTGAAAGATTGAAAAGTGAAAGACTAAAAATCTGCCATATACACTTCCGTTGTCGTTAGACTGCATGCATAACGTAGCATTGAAATGTGATTCATGTGTTTAATTTAGTGGCCTACGTGCAACACTGGTCTTTTTTAATAGAGTATATTGTAGAATATAACATCCATAAGCACTGTCATCTTGGTGTTTGACATGTCTTTTTTTCATTTAAATTTGATTATTAAAAACATGGTTATATATTAAAAAAAAAAAAAAATTAGTGACATGAATATTCTTTTATTGACATCCTTTTTCCTCTTTTTTCTTTTCCTTTTATCCTTTATCCTAATTTTTGTTTTTACTATTTTGCTGCCTTCATCTGTCTTTGATTTTTGTCCGCTGCATTCGTGAAGTGACAAAGATCTGTTAACTCAAACTAGGACTATTGCAATGTCATTTGTCAAATGCGCCAGCAATGAAGCTCAGCACCAGTATAAGCTTGTCAAAGATATATCATTCTGAAAGCTCCTCCAGCTCTCTTCTGTTTTAATATTACTGATAAAATGCAACTTCAGAATTGTTAAGTGACAATTTGACATAGAAAGTGGAACTAGAAATCCTGCACTGTAACTGATTGTAGCTGGGTTCTGTTTTGTGTTCTGTAAGATCATCATTTCTGATCTGGCTTTACTCCTCTTCTTAAAAAGAAAGAGAGAGAACAGAAATTATTGCACTACTGTTAAGAAAATGTATGCTAGTTTTCTAATGTTATTTATTCACTTGTCTGTTGTCAAAAAGCTTATCAACTATCTTCATTTGGACTATACTTACTGCTGACATTTGTTTTTTATTTGGCAATTTTTCCTGTTCGTTATGGCACTAAAAGATTTTAAAAGTTGCCCTGAGTAGTACTTCTCTTCATCTCTGCTTGTTTCTTTCGCTTTCAGGGCTATATTTATCCCAAAAGCAAGCTCTCTGCTCATTTTTTTTTCTTATTTCTTTTTTCCACTTGTGACCAGCACTGCTTTCTTGAACAGCATGAACAGGGCTTTTGGGGAAAGGGTTAAAGGGGCTTGAGTGCTGCATCACAGTAGTAGCTTTAAGGGAAGAGGTGTAAACATACATTCGGTACGTACGGTAGAAGAATTCCAGGGTTTGAGAATAAAGCAGTTACAGCACAATTCCATTCTCCTGATGTGATGGAGAGTAGCAAATTTTCATGGATCACACTGTGTTTGGAGCCTGGACTTAGGGCTCCACAAAGGGCAGCAGGGCCTAGAGAATGATGTGGCTGTAGCTCTTACCTCTGCTGCTCCAGGACAGCTTGAGTGGCAGCAGTAGTAATAGATGGGATTTACATGTAGGGTACCAGTCTAACTTGTTTGTCAGTGGCTATGTCAGTACTGTAATCCTAACCCGTGGTTTTGCCCAACCTTTTTTCCCTCTCCACCCATCACTAGGCAGTCTTTACAAATCCTATTTCTGCATTGAATTGCTGCTTGCCTGTGCTGCTGAAATAAGGGTTTTAGCTGCTGGCTGCCTTTGATGCACTTCCCCTTGTTTCCTCTGAAAAGCAAACGTGGAGTTGACTTGGAAAAGAATCTTTTGAGTCTTTCAGCAGGAAGGAATATTTGCAAAAGCGGAGGCAAAACGCCATAATACAGGAAGGGTTTCTGCTGCATGATTATATATAATCTTATTCCTTGCTTTGGAAGAACCAGAAAGAGCCTTTAACACCATCTTTGTGTTAAAAAGAGAGAAAGGAATATCCCCCTGCCTCGAAAAAAAACAGAACCAGTGAATAAAACAAGGATAGGCTGTAGCAGAAATGGGAACATTAACCATCTCACAGTCGCTCTATGCAAACAAGTATCTATCTGTCAGTGTCATCTGAATCTAAAATCCTGCTGCAGACTTCAGTCCCACTCAGCCTTTGTCTGCACTGCAGCTGTGTTGTCATTCTTGGTGCTAGTTTAGAATACAATGCTGTAGCCTGGGTTGGCTGGCATGTTCCTTGGGCAGCAAACCCCCTTTCTACCTTGGTTATACAAACTGCTCTGTGGTTTAATTTGTAACTTAGAGACTTGTGCAGCTTGATGTAGTGTCTTTTGTCCAGTTAATTGGCCCCGCTTTGTCCTAGAATACTCCTTTCCAGACATCTGGTTTGGGCCTGTGTGCTCTGTCACTACAAATGTGTCTGGGAAGATGCTCACAACAGCAGGCATAGTAGAGTGGGACAGTGCACTTTGTGAAGTATTTAGTTCTAGGCTTGTATCACTTGTTTGCTAGCAGCTTTCAGAAATTTCCACCGGGGCAACGTTATCAGTTGAAGCACAAATGTAGACATGTGGCTGACTTGATATCTTCTTATCTGACACTGGGAGCTGTGAGTTGACTCTGCATTCAGCTAGCTGCTGGTAATTGTGAAATCAAGCACAGAATGAATCAGAGATTTCTGCCCCACTTCCCTGAGCGGGCACTTGCAGAATTTTTGTTAAACAAGATGCAGCAGGTGGGGACTATTTTACAGGTGTAATATTTTACAGGCACTTCTACTTCCTGCCTTTTCTTCAGGGCAAGTATAGCCACAATAGGACAAGTTCTGTCTTAGCACCTTTACTTCTATAACAGTACCCCTACCTTTTTTTGGACTGAGGAAGTGGTAAAGCAGAGAGAAACCGGAATGGGCTAATGGATTTCAAGGGCATTGGTACCTGAAGCAGAAACAAACTCCTGGCATTCAGAAAGGAAAGATTACGTTTAAAAAACAGCCCCTCACTTCTCGACTGATCAGTTTTATTTAAATTGTCTGTAGTATGGAGCTATTTTAATTAATGTAAGAATGCATTATTTTTAATACAGACTGTTTACATTTACAGATGTGATGTAATTGAAGTAGTTCTGCAAATGTAGTGGGACCTATTGGGGTATGTCTTGTTGTGTTAGGCTAGTTGAGTGTTTTGCTGTCTGATTGCAGTGCTCTGTATTCAGCCTTATGCCTGAATTGTTTTGAGCTGCTTTTGCACAACACATGTCCTGCCCTGGGTGATAAATACAAGCAAAGGGATTCTGCTGGGGCTATTAAAAAAAAAAAAAAAAAAAAAAAAAAAAAGCTAAAAAAAAAAAAACAGAAACGTATGCTAAAGAGGAAGGAAAAAAAAAGCATTAAGATATATGCTGCAATTCTAAAATATGTATCGTCATGCTTTGGCATCTGTTATCGATTAGCATAAAATAAAAATCCTGATTACTTACAGTGATCGCTTTCTGACTGTATGAAAAACAGGAGCTAATCTGTAGGCATTGTATGGATTTCTCGTTTGAGTTTGTAAGTTTCCCCCAAACTTTGTTTTTATTTAGAAATGTTTCTATTTCCCCATTTTTCTTTTATTTGTCTTCTTCACCCTCTACACCCTAATTCTAGCTTCAGTTTTACCCAAAGTTGATTTGAATTACACCAGATTGCAGCAAGCAGAGAAGGCTCAATTGGAAGCTGAGAATGAGGATGAGAAACTTAAACAGGAATATGTGAATAAGTCTGAAAGTCTGCAGAAAGAATTCTCCCAGAAGGAGAAACAGCTGTAAGTATATCTCTTCTGTTTGAAAAAATATTTAGCAGTAATGTTTTGTGCATTCATACAAGTTGGCTGTTGATAACTGATCGTGAACAGAATGTAAATACTAAAGATATTAATGTTGCATACTGGCAAGATGGAAGAAAGTACGCTGTTCCAAGGTCTGGCTACCTTTGGGCACCTCTGAAGTGCTGTGCAGCTTGGAAGGAGGGGGAGGAGCTACAGTAAATTTCGTCTGAAGGTGCTGGCTTACTTCATGAGGAAACTATTGTAAGCAAGAGAAAATATCTAGTATAGTAGCAGTAACCCACACTTTTAATAAAGCCCACAACAGTGTAATAGTGTGAACCTGAAGAGAAATGGTGTGAGAATAATTGATCAAGATTATCAATAAGGTAAAATCCTTTAAAAATTGTTTAATTTGCCACTGCAGAAAAAAAATAATCCATGGGAATTATAAATAATAAAATGTAACATAAAAGCCAACCCTCTCCCTTCCTCTTGGTAAGTTCTTCATTAGTGATCTAAATAGGTATCTAGTGTAAAAAGCTCCCTGCAGAGGGGCAGATGTTTATCCTGTTGGGAGATAACAGCTACATTATTGAAGATAGGGCAGATCTGTGACACAAAGATTGGAGCTTAAAAGATAGTGATTTCCAATCTGATTACTAGCCCATCCTGCCTCCCTTACAACTCTGAATGTCAGTAAACTGGTTTAACTGTCATGACAAATGTTCACTTTACTGCTGCAGTCATCTTTGCAGATTTTGGCAAAAGAACAGTTCAGACCCCAACCTTATTTTATTATTATTACTACTTCAGAATTCTGCAATTCTGAAACTTCAAAGTCATTTTCACTTCTGATCTTTTCCAACCAGGTGCTGAGGTAGTGTCCCAAATGTAAGTCTTTCCTTTAAAAATGGTTTTGATTTCAAAAAAACAACAAACAAACAGAAAATTAACGTAGCTACAAGTTTTTCCTCAAAAGAACCTTGTATGACAACTCTCAGTTTTTTTCCTTTTCTGTTGATTTGTCAAGATTTAGATGTAGAAGGCTGAGCAGTGTGCTTCCGTCCTGTTTGCTCTGTAGCACTCTAAACACCAGCTCTTCCGTGATAATGAAATCCAGCTGGAGTGATTTTGTGTCAGAATAATCCTTGTGCCAATGCTGGATTTCAGTTAAACTAATAGGGTTTGGATCCTTCTTCATGTTGAACCTCAGCAATGTAGGAAGCTCAGTTAAAATAGCGCATTAAAGTCTTTCCTTCCTTATCTTTGATTCTGTTCAGATTTCCATAAGCCTTAGTCTAGACAAAAAGATTGACACCTGAAAGCATAATATTAAATAGCTTTTATGAGCACCAGGGATGCGTGCAGCCCTTCTTTGTGTCATCAGTGACACTGTGGTTGTTTTTTTATTTTAGAAACAAACTATGTAGTGTTAAGAGGAGGGCTTCCCTTCATTCACAAATTAAAAGCACCTTAGAATGTTGTGGTTGATCTTCTCTTGCTTACTAAGGTCAGCTTTTCAAAATGTTGCCACAGTCTTGATCCTTCTAAATGTGATTCTTTTCAAAAGCACTCTCTAAGTGGTAATTTTAACTATTACTATGTCTGAAATGTTGTAACATTGCTGCATTTTTTTCTGTTTTAAAAAACAGGTCAGCTGATGGGCTGCTTATTGTGGCAACAATATGTTGCATCCAGAAATAAACTTCTTTTTGTTATGTTTTAAAGTGATACTGTTTTGCACAGTGATTGTGTTCTTTGTTTTGCATATTTTAGGCTCCAACTTGAAACAGATTTGAAGATAGAAAAGGAGTGGCGGCAAACTCTGGAGGATGACCTTCAAAAGGAAAAAGAAACTGTATCTCATCTGCGAATAGAGACTCAAGAAATAATTAACCTTAAAAAAGTAAGTTCTGCAATAAAACTTGAATAGTAACTTGGAAATTAACTGAAAAGTTAATTATGAACTTAGACATGGGACTTCTAAGAATTTCTGCAACCAGATCAGAAAGATTAGATTAATGTATTCTCACAAGTGGATAAGAAAAAAGATTGGAAACGTTGTTTCTCTTTTTACTCCTTTCTTCTTCAAATCAAAACTCTGTCCTTTGGCTAAAGAAAACCAGAATCCTTATTTTCCTTTCTCAGTTTTATTGAAGACTGTCTTCTCGTGATAGGCCAGAAATTGCTTCAGGTTCTCTCTAACTTGGTGCGCGTGGCTACATGGTGCTGTTGATGTCTGCAGTGAATCGTGTTTGCTTTCTGAAGAAGCAAGTAGGTGTCATCTCTTAGGGCCTAAGAGAGTGTGATCTCGAGTGTTGCTGCTTGAATTCAATTTGGAAATCTTTATAGTGAGGGTGATAAGTCATCCAACCGCTTGGCTTTCTCAGTAAGATCAGCTTTGGTTAGGACCAGTTTTCTAGGCATTAGGTGTATGTGTATGTATGTGTGTGTATATATATATATATATATATGTGTGTGTGTGTTTGTTTGTTTGTTTTTGTTTTTGTTTTTTTTTAAGGAGTTCATTAAACTTCAGGAAAAGAACAGGCAACTGAAAAGGATATGTCAGGACCAAGAAGCTGCTCTCCAAGAACTGGCATCCAAGCTGAGCGAGTAATTTCATTATTCCTGAATGATTATATTTGTCTCATAAACACGAGTTAAGAAAAAGAATAGGATGGCCATCATGCAAACTACTGTGTAGAAAGCAATATTTACCAAGCCAGTTATCAGTAGGAAATACTTCTAGTTAGGTGAAATGTGTTGATTTTTCTCTTTGGTTTGTGCCTGTGACCTCATATGCAGTTATAGTGTTCTGGAAAGAAAATCTTAGCTAGATCTTAAGGCCTGCAGGGCTTTAGGAGGTGTTTTTGCATTGAAAGTAGTTGACTAGTTTGCATGTCTTGGTTTTGCTAAAGAACAATCCAAGTAGAAGATAACAGCTTATACTTCAACAAGATAGTGCTTATCTTTTTATGAGGTTGCGTGCTCATGGGTTCCTTTCTTTAACGAGATGAGGATTCTCATCTTAGTCTTAGACCACTGTTTATTGCTACATCTTCAGGCTATGTAAAAGATTACCTTATCAAAACCCACTCAGATTATGGTGAGCAATAAGCTCTGAGCACAGTAGTTGTTGCTCTCCATATCTCTCTACTTCATTTAAGGATGTGCTTTATAAATTGTTTTGCCATGACTGCTGTGGCCTTTTATGCCCTGTACAATGTTGCAGTTTAGACAGTTCTGAGTGGCACTGGGTGGCTGTAGGAAGACTGATTTCCCCAGCAAGACAGTCCAGAAGTTTGAATTCCTAGTTTGCACCAATGCTGTGTGCTTGTCTGGTGCCCTTAACAGCATAACCTCAAACATACCTGCATTCAGGGATTCTTAGCTCTTAGTGCAGAGCCTGTCTTTGTGTAGTGCTTAGTACATCTCCTAGATGCTGCTGTGATGTAAAATACTAAGTTCAGAATACATCACTTAATTTTTAAATACTTAAACCTTGCAAGGTTTTTTAGACTGCAAGTGAAAATATAACAGTTCGAAATATCATCTTATTTTTTTAGATCCAAGCTGAAAATAGAAGATATAAAAGAAGCGAACAAAGCATTGCAGGTTGGTAGGATTTGGAGGAAAGAAACATTGGTGTTTACTGTTGCAAAACATTGAAATGTTTTGCAAGCTTGAAAAAGCTTCTCTTCAACAGCAGCTATTCAGAAGAGACTCATTTTATTATATTCTGGTGGGAGGGAAGCACAGATTTCCTGTACACTCAGCAAAAGAAAATAATCAGTTTAATATAAAGTTACACATTTTGCTACATTTTATTGCAAAGGTGCACCCTTTTATTTTACAAAATGTGTTTGGGACCGTGTATGTAGGCACCAATATGGCATTTGTTAACTATAAATAAATATTTGATCATCCAGAAGTCTATGCAAATAGGAACTATACTGCTGAAAGGCTGGGAGCTTGAGCATTGTGCATCTTGAGAGCAGAGGTTATGTCTGCATATGTTTGATCATAAGATCAATGTGAGTTCACATATTCCTTCATTGAGCAGGGAAATAGGTTTCAGCTTTGAGACTTGGATAGCTTACTGTTTTTCCCAGCTCTGCCATAGACTAGCTTTAGTGCCTCCAGCATGTCTTCTTTGTACCTATTCCCGCTGTTAGCAGTGCTTTGGCGCAAGCTTGTCCTGCCTCAGAGTGTCTACGTGACATTGTAGAGGTCTCAGGACGTTCAGCAATTCAGGCAGTAAATATTACTCCTATTGATTTGTTTTGTCCTTTTGAACCCAAAGTTTACCTTTATCATATACACGTATTTATGGTCATTTATTTTTTTCTGCAGGGGCAGGTTTGGTTGAAGGACAAAGAGGCTACACATTGCAAGTTATGTGAAAAGGAATTCTCACTTTCCAAAAGGAAGGTAAAACTCAAATGAAATTTCTTCCAGCTCATTTATGTGTAGTATGAGAAATATGTCAGTTATCTTACAGATGAAATCAGCGTGAAATGTCAACCTTCAGATGAATGTATAGGGATTCTTTGAGATGTGCTACTCATATCAAAGAACAACTGGGCCCTACTTTCAAAAGAAATGTTGCTTGTTTAGTGTAGTGCTGTGGAGGACCGTACTTAAAGTTACTCAGCCAACCTCGTGGAATCATTGTCTCATGTACTTGGCAGCAGTTCCGCCATTAAAATTTGACACGTGGAAGTCTTAGTACTTTTTTTTTTTTTTAATATATATTAGACTTAAGAAATTATGAGCTTATTGGGGCTTTAAAGCAGTGTTAATTGTTAAGCTTTATTAACATATGCAGAAATTTTTATTTCACCTACTTCTTATGTTAAATTTTAAGAGCTGCTTGACAGACTCTCATCCATTGTCATTGTTTATATTCTTAATTGGCAAAGCACGTTAGTTTGTCTTATTCTAGGGATTCAGACCTTGTATGTTTGGTCTGTCTAGGATCGCACCATAAATTTGGGTTTAGATGAATTATCTCTTGAAAACTGGTTCCGTGCCCAGACCAAACGATTGGAAAGAATTCAGATTGTTCTCTGTGTGATTTATTGATACCCAATTACCAAGTATATTTCTGCTGTATATTTTTGATTTTGTGATTCTTTTTTTTCTGCTCTTCTCCCTGTTATTTAGCACCATTGTAGAAACTGTGGTGAGATCTTCTGTAATGCTTGTTCCGACAATGAACTGCCTCTGCCTTCCTCACCAAAGCCTGTTCGTGTCTGTGATTCCTGTCATGCAATCCTTATACAGAGGTGCTCTTCTAATGTGCCATAAGATTATTTTACAAGTTATTACCCTGTGTATTTAGCTAATTCTGTAAAACAAAACAAACAAGAACCAGCTACAGAATGTACAGCACTACTTCTGTTGATACAAATAGAGAGGACGGGACCCAAAGCCACAAAATGCATGTCTTAAAAATGAACATGTTAAAATTACAGATTGCAGTATTAGTCTAACAAATGACTTGGAAGCTCTTCTGAAGGAAGGAAGGGCGGTTTATAGAGGAGGTTCAGTGTTAATAGGTATCTTAGTCATTACGATCTTGAGAAGGGTGACTTATTTACCTGCTTTTACAGGCTAGTCCAACTGAACTGTGATGTAAAATTTGCCTGTAGTATGCTGCTGTGAAGCAAAATGGAAGTAATGGTTTTAAACTGTACTTTAACGTAAGGAAAGAAATTAATGGAGGTGGCCCAGTAAATTATTGCCAAATATCTTTGTCATTTGCTTCCTCTCAGTTATCAAGATTTGATACCTCCAAGAATATTGCACTGACAATTCTATAGTCAGAGGAGTAGAGGGAGATGGTGTCAGATAGGTGAGAAACTGTGTCCTTAGGCACTGGGAGAAAGGGGGTGCATTTTGCCAAATTGTTTTGTAAAATTAGCTATTAATTTCACCTTATCAGTGTTGTCATGGAGAGATGTCCATCCTATTTTTTGATGCTTTATGTTGTCTGTAGCCTCAAGGAAGTGTCTTTGTATTATTTTCAGGAAAGTCATGCTTAGCTCTAGAGCAGCATCAGCCTGCTGCCAAGAGACACTAAAAGCTGTGGACCGTGTCCTTTGTGTGGTGCCTGTGTTGGACCAGAAAGTTTGTCTCTTTGTTGCCTTATTTCTCTAAGGTCAGTTTGTTCCTAAACATTTTCTTTTTTTCCAGAGAGCTTTTGAGTTCTGCTAGGTCTGACACATCCCACCACTGTTCATGTTGATGTTCCATGGTAACTTCTGCTGGAATGTACATCTCAGTTCTTCTAGTAGCCAAATAAAAATACAGCCTTTGATGGGTTGTATGTAGCAGCAGCCCTCGCTGTCGTGTCACTGCTCTAGAATCAACCTGCCCTCTGCCCTTCAGCCCTTCATGTGAATGGGTCCAGCCATGGAATTTCCACTCTGGTCAGTACTGGTGAGCAGTTAGCAGTAATCAGCTGTAGTTCATTTATGGGCCTGGAATTCCTACTGACAGGAGCACGGCAGCTTGGAAACAGGTCTTTCTTTTAGTCATTCTTGCACTTTGTTTAGCTTAGCTGTGTCTTTTGAGGATTGGTATTTAGCTAATATTCCAAGAGCTAACTAACTGTTCTTTTTGACACGTCAGTGTAGTTGCTTATGTAGCCTTTGTAAAAAAAATAAAAATAAAAAGTTTTTAAAATTATCTAGTATAACTTTTTTGTAAAATACAAATGTTTGTAAATGTGTAAATAGCTTTTAGAAAAAAATAAATTTAATTGATCTTCAATGTAATGTTGGGAGTAATGTCTCTTTATTTAAATTTGCATTGCAGAATACTTTGAATGTTTTATTGACTTGTTCACGTTGCTTGAGAAGTCTCTGCCTTTGTTGGGCAATGGGGAAGCTGCCCTGCTAATTATGTAAGGAAATACTGCTTGCTTGCTTCATTAAGGTACTCTGATCTAAGAGTGTTTTGAAGTGTTGTGTTGTTTTTTTGTGGGCCCAGTATGAAGGCAAACTGATGTAGGATGTAGAGCATGCCTGTCAGTCCTGCTTCAGTATCTTTTCAAAAATTATGCAACTGAACAAATACAATTTAAAATGGGCAATTGTTTAAAATAAGAATATAGTGCAGTTACTGCCAGTGCTGAAATTTTTGTAATATACAGATGCAGTCAATTATCTACTGCCTAACTATGAACTCTTCCATTCCTCTGTACCACACTGTTTACGTGGAAAAATATCACTGAATGGCATATAACCTACTTAGACTGCTTTTATTTGAGAGGAATTGCTGCCTTGAACAAAATGGTGAATGCTGTATACTGTTCCAGGTGGCATCCAGGTTTCCTTTGGCATCAAACTATGTATCTGGCCCACTTTCAGCAGGTTTTTGGACCACACTACCGTTACTCCATTATTAATGTAATGATTTTGTCTTTCTATAAAACTTTGTTCTGTGACAGATTATCTTGTGATTCTAAATAATATTCCTTGAGCCAAGCATATGAAGGTATGCGGTGTACCTAATGTGTACCTCAAAAGAAATTGTAATCGTTCCCACAGCATCAGAGCAACCTTTGGGTAATTTCCTTCTAACTTAACAGTATAAGGGCATTAACAAATAGAAAATATGCTTCTTCTTTCTCTCCCCCTCCCCTCCACTGATTATACCGGCTGTCTCACCTTCTTGCAAAGGTGGTTAACATACTTGGACCTCCTTCTCTGACAGTGAAGGAAAATCCATCTGATGGCCAGCATTCATCACACAAGAGATTGCAGGAACCAGTCAGTACTTCTCAGTGGATAACCAACCACTTTAAAAGAACTACACTTTGCAGCAAGTATTTCAGCTTTACATACAAGTATGAACTTCAAAAATCATTTTTTTTCTTCTCAGAACACTGCTGAAGTTCCTTGAAAGAGTCCATACTGTATGCTGCTCTCATTACAGGATGATGTGTAAACAGGGATTGGACAAGCATAAGGCATTCACTCTCCAGAACAGAATTGTGTTATTCAAGAGTCATTCAGAATGACTTCTGGTAACTTAGTTGGTGATGCCAAATAGCTTGAAGTGCAACTACTTTGTTCTCAGGTATGTCAGTCTTAAATCAATAGTAAGTGTTCTTTCTCAGAAAACAGAATGCAAAGTATACTTGAGGAATTATTAGAGCTGTGATACCTATTTAGGTAGCTGATAGAGAAATCTGTCAGATGTAAAGGTATTTTTTCCTGCACCATCACTGCTAGGCTGACTTCAAGTCATCTTTCCTCCCCTTCCTCTGCCCCATACTTGAGTATTTGGAATATTTCCTACTGCAGATGAGCCCTGCTGCTATTACTTCCGATAACATTGACACAAGCACACTCTCTAGTGAAATAAACTCCATTCTACTATCTCCCAGAGCAAGACATTTATTACATATATAACACAGTACTAGCAAAACAGGTGACAGACTTTCAATACCCAAGATTACATTTGACATTTTAAGGGAGGCGTTGAGGACAAAGCAGTTAATTTGGGAGATCACACTGGCTCAGAAGAATAAATACCTTATTATACATCAGGTATGGTAAGTGTCTTCAAACATTTTTTCTTACACATCTTACATGTCACAAATGCACAAAAACTTTTTTTCAATGTGGTTGGGGTTGTGTCACTTAACAAATATTGGGCTTACAGTTGTTTTCAGAGATGCCTGGCTTCTACCAAACTCATTCATATAATGGTTGCCATGTTTTGAACAAATACAGACAAACCAGCTATGTGCAGGGAAAAAAAGAAAGCTCAATGGTGTTGAAACGTAAGTGTTAGGAAAATTCTAGCTTGCTTCAAATAATTGTCTTCCCAAAGCAGTTTGTGAAGAAAAAAAGCAAAAGTACCTTTCAACTTGCTAGCATTTGACTGCTTCGCTAGTGTTTGATTAGCAACAGCGTTGCAAGTTAAACGTGTGAAATGAGTATCTAAGAGTTCTACAGCAAAGCACAGAAGCAAACAGTTGTAGCCTGGGCGTGTGGATGACAGAACTTGGGAAGTATGCATTTGTGCAATCGCGCCATTTGCAGAGCATTGCTGATACTACAGGGAGGAAAGCCAGATCTATGACTCCTCCACAGCTTGAGCTTAATGCTATGGTGAGAAATTACTACATACAACTTATCAAAAAGATTTAGGAAGGATTGCTACCAAGTAAGCTTACCTACTATCTACCCTTTTCCCCTTAAACAAGAGAATGTATCAAACTCATTTACTACACCAAGAGTACATAGAACTCAGTGTTCATAGGAGTTACAGTACAACCACCTTTATTGAACCATAGTACAACATCTCAAACCAATTGTATTCTTGAATATGTAATACATCCTTAGGAGTAACTAGTATAAAAAGTATCAACATCAGTGGTTTGAATATAAAAATTTATTTAAAGTCAGAGTATGCAACAAATAAAACCTACAGAAAACAGATTTTCCCATCACAAGCTCTTGCTTACCAAATAATATTGTGAAAACACATTCCTTCAGTCATTATAAAGTTCTTAAAATACAAAAGAAATTAAAATTTTGTAAGAAAGTCTAGTAGACCAGAGACTGTTGTTTCTTCCAGGGTATTTTGTAGAAGCAAGGCTATCCTTCAATACATCCCACGCCATCCTCCTCCACCCATATTGCCTTGCCCATAGTATCCTCCACTATTTCCACTGCCACGACCTGCAAACAATTGACACAAGGTCACGTATACATACCTTAAAAAGAGAAAAAAACGTGATGGGTAATAAAAAACTGTTCAGCATCAGCTTAAGATATACTTCAGCACTATTTTTCTAAAAAAACATTTGTTGCAATAGCCGAATTATGAAAAAGTGCCCCAGTGATTTACTATTTAAGCCACCCCCTTTCCTTTCTCCCAGCCCACAAAACCCACCCTTCCAAATCACATACACACAGACACAGTAACACAATCACAAAGACAATCATAACACAATCATTAGGACAGAATATCTACTTACTGTAGCCCCCCAAGCCATCAGGAGTTCCATAGCCGCCGCTGTAATTGTTACCCATTCCCATTCTACCAACAGAGCCATAACCTTGATCTGAAAAGCAGAAGGTGCACTGTTAAAACCTTGCAACTCCATCACATTTTGCAAAACAAGCTGTATTTGGAAATGATACATACCCATTCCATCTCTGCCATAGCCTCCCATTCCAGAGCCACCTCCAGCAGTTGAATTCAGAAACAGCTCAATGTATCGATGTTCTGCAGGAAATAAAAATCTACTCTCAAAAAACACAGTAAAAAAAACCTTACCCTACATACAATAGTTGGAGAAATCAATTTGAGATGATCTACTCGTTCTGATCATCAACAAAAAGTCCATTATTAGTACTATATTTAAAGCACTGTTAACTTCAGTTTGAATCCTCATACTGATTTACACCCTACTGAAATCAACTCAGTTAAACCCCCAATTGAACACGACACTCACGCATGTGGTTTTTATCCTTGGACATAGCAGCTACCGCATCCTCATGTGTTACAAATTCCACATCTGCCTCGCCTGTGGCTCTTCCATCTGCCCCAATATCGATGTGAACTCTTATAGGATTCAATGGTGAGAAGAACTAAGAATAAAAACAAAGAAAAAAAAAAAAATAAATCAAATGAATTTAGAATTCAAGCCAGGTATGTTTTCTGGCGCCCCAGTAGTTTGCAAGGCACTGTATTAATTTTCTCTCATCCTGTCACACAAATTTAATTACTTGTCTCTAAGGTATTACTTAGAGGTTTCTGTTATACAAATGGAAGAACTCCAGCTACAGAGCTTGACAAGCTCTCTTTAAAAAGAGATGCAAACAAAAATACTTGTCTACACACCTCTCTTTAAGAAACATGCTCTAATATGATGCCACCCTAGAAAGGGAAGATCATTACTTCGTTTTGAGGGAAAAAAAGCCAAACAAGGTTCTCAAAATAAGGACAATTATGAAACTAAGAAGAAAAAGCTGTCAATTTCTCTTCCTACAGCAGTTATTAGAAAGATACAGTAGGCCATCATTCCTGAAATTTTGTAGAAGTCCTTTAACTGAGCTCTTATGGGTAAATGTGAGCCTTCCACTCTGAACAAACACAGCACCCTACAGGTTTCCCACCTTGTCTCCCTAAAACAAGACTCATGGCCACATACAAATGTGAAAACCATAATCACATCTACTATCAGTCTTCTACAAAATAACATTAATATCTTCAGTTAAGCTTAAACTTTTGAGTCTTGTGAAGATACAAATTTCAACATCTGTCTCTTATTTCTGGAAATAAAAAAGTATACAGGGGTTAAATGTAATTTGGGTGGCTTCTTCAGTAAGCTTACCACAGGCATTACCTTTAAAAACCTCACTAAGTACGTATTAAGTATTGTAGAATCTGCATAAGTAACTTAAGACTTTAGTTACTATGTATTAGAGCTATCACTCACTGGAGAGCCATAAGCAAGTTGGGAATAGGGAAGAACATAGACATTCTTGGTATCAGAAAGCCTGATTTTGCTATTTTACTTACATTTGCAATATCATTCTCTGTTGCTCGAAAAGGCAGTCCTCTCATGTGAACAAAATGACCGCCACCATGGAAACCTGAACCTGCATCTCCAGCTCCATAGCCATGTCCTCCCATGCCTAGGAAAGAAAGACAAGTGAAGAACGACACACACACCCCCTTTTTTTTTTTTTTTTTTTTTTTTTTTAAAAATAAATTATAAAAAGAAAAGCACCCCCACCTCGACAAAACAAACACAATCATCTTCCTTTACAAAATAATATGAAGAAAATAAAAACAGAACTATGTATGCCTTGGGAATGTTATGTTTTACTGTTAAAAAAAAATATATTTTTTACCTCTCCCATCTCTCATTCGGTCATCATAGCCATCATTTCCATAGCCATAGTTATTATAACCACCATAATCATCAAAGCCACCATATCCTATACAATGGACAGAAGGAAAAGAGCAATTATGTTACTACTGAGAAATCACAAAGTGATACACAAGAGTCAATTTTTCAGTCTGGGCACCTGAAGTGCCACTGCAAAGCATTAAACACTCATTTCTGAACTGACACATCCAACTGAGATATCCAATTCTGCTGAAAAAACAGTTTTCTAGTAACATCCATTACTCTTAAATACTAAGCTGCATTTTTTCTTCCCCCAAAAATTACAAGTAAAAAATTCCTTTTGAAGAGGCATGTCAAACCTAACAGGAAGCTACTGCCATTTCTTTATTTCTTGACAAAGACGTCAGAAACATGAAACTGACAACAGAACCTCTATCATTAGATAAACATACCACCGTCATATCCACCACCTCCTCGACGCATTCTGTCATACATACTTCCACGCCCAGCTCCATAATAACCCCCTCTTCCTCCTAATGGTCTATCATATGGTCCAGGCCGTTGTTGTCCCATCATTCTTCTCGGCATGTCAGAGAATCCTCTGATTTCACTCTTACTACTTTTGAAGATTTCAATGTATCTAAATAAGAGAGGATTTTCAAGGTAGAAATAAGAATACACGTATAAGCTGTCTGAACAGTAGAAAAATAACTAAACATACAATGTGATAAAAATGACTACAGATACCATAGAACTTAAGTTCCTCCTCAAAACTGTTAAGAATCTTAATTGTATCAAAGTAAAACTTTACAACGGCAAAAAATTACAACATGAAAATTCTAGCTGTAAAAATTAAGTATAAAACATGTCTTTTCAGTATGAGAAACATACTGTTGAAAAACAATGTCTGGCTATGGCAGCACTTATCACAAATTACCCTACATGAAAAACAACCGAAACAACATTCTAAGTTTAGCAATCTACACAGAGTAATACTGTCTCCCCCGCCCCCCAAATCTACCGTATTTCCCCAGTTAATTTAGGATCAGTTATAAAAATTCTTTAAAATACCCCATTCCATATAATAGTCCCCAGCCCCCCAAAAGCATTACTGTCCCACAACCCCCAAAAATAACCATTTAACACCATCCCAAACTCTCCATCCCCACCTGTGCCCTATTCTTTCCTTGTGTTTCCCCAGAGCATTTTCTGCTATCTCCTTTGAAGCAAACTGCACGAAGGCCTCCCCTGTGCTTCTCCCCTGGTAGTCCAGCGTCAATGTTATCCCATTTGGCACGATTTCCAACCCTTTAACCCAAGGACAAATAACCCCATCAAGGGGAACAGTGTTAAAGGCTGAAACATTCCCATCTGTAGAAAATACTTAAAGCATCTAAACAATAACAACGAAAAAAAGCTCTTAAGTTCCCCCATCACCCAACAATACAAGCCAACGATCTTTCATTAAACATTTATGGATTTAGCCATACTTGTTTTTTGTTTTAAGTATGTGAACATACACCCACCTAGGTTACATGAAGAAAACAAAGCTACCAATCAAGCAATTTAACCGCTCCAAACGCTAACGTACAGGTTATAATCACAAGACATTCACCACCTTCACTAAATTAAGACATGTATTCAACTTTGCTATGTCTACAGTTATTTGAACAGGGCATACACCTTACTCAAGGCAATTTATGTCAAAGCAATCCCCCCTCCACCCGGCTAACGGCCATTACAAGTTACAGGCTTGCAAAGCATCGACTTATCTTTCACACAGTCTTTATGCTTTGACTATACTAGAGATACCTTGGAAAAACTGAACGATCTCTTCCTTGCTACAGCCGAAGGGCAGCCCTCGGAGCCGCACCACCGTCCCATCGTTGGTTGTATCGGTGGGCCCGTTGTGCTTTCCACTCCAGTCCATTTTTGTCTAAATCAAACGCTACCAAAAGGAAAAAACAAAACATTGAGACATAAAAACACAACAAATCGGGTAGGTTTTCATTAACAAAGCGGCGTTCGGCAGCATTATGGATATTTCGTTCCATTCCCTGGATATTTCAATTTCACTCGCTCGTACATAAGCACGTGGACGCGGCGGTCCCCGGCAGTGCAGCAGCGCGGGCATCGGCGGCGCGCACCAGCCGCTCGGCGCGCTCCCGGCCCGTAACCTTTTGTCTCTCGCGGCGTGCCGGCAGAGGGGCCGCAACCGCGCAGCGCTGCCTTTCCTTTGTCTGCCATCACGGCCCGGCCGGCCGCGCTCCCGCTCCTTTTCCCCTTCCGGAACCACGGCCATTAATCCCGAACCAAAGCGGGCGCGCAGCGCGGCCCGTCTCGGACTGGGGGCGGGGAGCTCTCTCCCTCCCTCCCCCCTCACCCCGCGCCGCCGCCATTTACCGCGCCTCCCCGAGCCACCCCCTCCACCGCCGACCGCCACCGACGCCGTCCCCGCCAAGCACCCCACCGCCACCTCTCCACTTCGGAACGACTGCCGAGCGCCCTCCTGCCCAACCCCGACTTCGGGGTGCGGCAAGCGGTACGCCGCCGAGGCTCGTCGGGTCGGCGGCCGCGTTCGGCTCCGGCGCTCAAAATGGCGGCCGGTCGGGAGCGAGGCTCCGAGAGCCGCGCCGCACCGCCCCTCCCCCACCCGCGGCGCCACGCCGCCCCCCCGCGGGCCGCGCCGCGCACACGGCCGGGCCCCGGGCCGCTTCCGCGCCCACCCTACGAGCGGCCCAGAGGGGCTCGCCGCGGCCGGTGCCGCCCTCTCTCCCTTTCTCACCCCGCGCTCACCGGGAGACCTTCGTACGCTCCTCGACGCGTCCCAGCGGGAGCTGCTGCCAGGAAGGAAGCCCCTCGCTTCCGAGCGGCCGGCGACCAGCAGCCTACGCAACCGCCGCTGGCAGGATGGCGTCCCGACCGCGCGGCTATCGCGATAGCACCGCCGCACACCTCCGCCCGCCCGGACGACAGCGGAGCATGCGCGCCTCTGCTAACAAGAGCCGGCGAACGGCGCCTCCTCCCTCTTCTCACGAGCGCGGCTGAGCGTCACCAGGCGCACGCGCGCTCCGTTCGCGCGCTGTGCTCTCTTGGCGCCAAGCCGTCCGCGCGGCGGCAGCGCGAGATGCAACAAATACCCGCAGCAGTCAGATACTCGCAGCAAACATGCAGCAGATAGATACCCGCACCGGACAGATACCCGTAGCAAACACATACCCGTAGCAAACAGCCGCAGCGAGTGCCCCCCAGTCTCCTCACGCAGGCGGTGCCTCACGCGCAGATGCCTGTGGCCCGTCGGGCGCTGCTCGCTCCAGCTCCCGGAGTCGGCTCGGGAAAGGGGATGGGAAAGCCCGGCCGGTCTCTTCCCCTCGGTTTTACGGCCGCGGCAAAGCTGTGCGATGTTAAGATCGGCCTGGGGAACCTCACCAGCTCCCGCCTGCGGAATCGCCTTGGGGCGAGGCGGCGGAAAGGCCCGTTGGGGCACCGAGGAGCGAGGGACGGAGTAGGGAGGTGCGCGCAGGGCCGGCGGCAGGCCGCGGGAGGAGGCTGGGAAGTGACGAGCGGCTCCTCCCGCCGTCGGGGCGCATAAACGGGGCCGCGCTGCGGGCAGGGCGCCGTAGGGAGCAGCGGGCAAAGGCCGGGAGCGCTGCGGCGATGCAGGTCCCCCTTTTCACGGTTGATGCCTTTACAAACCGGCCGTTTTGTGGAAACCCCGCGGCAGTTTGTCTGCTCGAAAATGTAAGTCTGAAAAAGAAAACGGACGGATCTTTAATGAGGGGCTGCAGCGGTGGCTGCCGTTGTTGCGAGGTTGTCTGGGGCTGCTGCCTCCAGGCAAGGCGTGCTTGTGCCGCTGCCCCGGGCGGAGCGGCTTAGCCGTTATAACGGGTTCTCCTTTTTCCTTCCCAACGAGGTGGTTTTTTTTTTGTTTCCTGTGAAAGAGAGGAGAGACGCGTACAGCCCTGTGACTGAGTCGCCTTGTGTCCCTGTGACAGGCAGGTTTTGCTGCAGGCTGCACGGTGCCTGTAGTGCAGTCATTCTCGTGAAGGTGTGCTGAGCAGATGGTGCTGATTGGTTTACCGCTCCCCAGAACCAGCTGTTAGACCAGATTAGAAACGTACATGTCTTGTCTTATTTGTGTGGTATCACTTGATAGGAATGGGAAGGTAAATGTAGTAGTCTGTTAGTGGTTCGCACTGGCCCTCTGAATCCTGCTCAGCTCTTCCTGAACCCTCACAGATCTCATACGATGGAGCATGCTTACCAAGATAGCCAAGTTGGCACAGAACATCTCACTTCAGAGCTGTTTTTGGCTATCTAAAATCTAAACACGCCCCTCTCTGAATGCACTGACCTTAAACTTGTAAACTTATTATGTTAATACATTCAGAAGGTGACTTACGTGTTGCCTATGGCATGTTGAGATTTTAACGTTTCCTCTGCAGGCTAGAGGCTTCAGGGTCGTTAAAGATGAAGTTCTAATTAATTTTGTTCTGAGCTCCAAGAACATATGGAGCAGCAGCCTCAGCAGCTGCTTTTTAAGAACTGGAGTACACGAGGGATGATACAAGCCCTTCCCGAGAAGTGCCACATGATGGCAGTATTTCAATAAAATTCTATTATTTTCAGCAAAATGTTGGCTGGTCTTTGTTCTAATTTCTGTATTTCTGTAGCAAGTGCTAATTTCCTGGGTTAAAGCAAAGACTGTGAAAGGTCGGGGTGTTGTCTCATCGTGTAGGTTTCACCATGGAAGGATCGATCTGCTATGCCTATCACTAACTGTTCTGCAGCAATAGCAGAGGATCGTTGGTTCAAAGGATTAAGGTTATTGAGGGAAAAAAGTCAAGTTAGCAGGGCAAAGTTCGATCTGACCAAGGTTGAACTTGACCAGATCCGCTTAGTACATTTTCATTTGTATGTTAGTTCTTTACAGACCAGACCCTTGAACCTGGCTGGTCTGTGTGACCAGGGGGAAAGGAACAAGAGTGAAGTAACAACTTATACTGTTGCTATACCTCGTGTGCCCTTCTATCATGCAGTGAGCTCCAGCATGTTTCTTCCTTCAGTTTCTTGTTCCAACTTTTACTGACTTAGCACGTTGTTCCTGTTGCTCAAGGAGTAATGTTGAGGGTACAGCAGTAAGTGCTGATAAAATGCCTTAGTTACTGTCCTGGCCATTGCGACATTCCCCCTGCTAACATGGGTTTCTCAGAGTTAAAAAGGAGAGCTGTAGCTATTTTTAGGTTGCTAGCAATGACTTCTTGTTGTGCCTTCAATCAGAATGAAAGATATGTCCTTCTGGAAGGACTGACTTTAGCATTTTGTAACTATCCCCCATGTTGTTCAAGGATCTGTGGGCTTACAGACGAGATATGGGTAATGGCTACCTACCACAGTGATTGAACTAGTTAGCCTATTTTGTGCTGCAAAGGTTTTTTGTATTTTTGCCCTCAACATGTTTTGAACTAAAAATGAATCTGCTTCATTATCACAGGAAAATGAGATGACTGAATTGATTTGAAAGACAGTTTGATTCTGTATTTTTATGAGTTGTCATTAAATGGGTTTGTCATCTCATTGTTAGGACTTGGATGAAAATTTGCACCAAAGAATTGCGACAGAAATGAACCTTTCCGAAACTGCCTTCATCAGAAAACTGCACCCTACGGATGACTTTACCAAAAGTGAGTGGCTTTGTTTGCCCTGCAGTCTCTTAGAAGAAGCAGGAAGAAACTATGGGTGCATTTATAAAGAATGATGCTAATGTATAAGATGGCAAAAGCAAAATTGTGGAGTTGTAAGCAGTTTTCTTTACAAGGAGAGTGGTTAGGCCCTGGAACGGGCTGCCCAGGGAGGTTGTGGATGCCCCGTCCTTGGACGTGTTCAAGGCCAGGTTGGACGGGGTCCTGGGCAACCTGATCTGAATGCGTGTGTTTGGTGGCCCTGCTAGGCAGGGGGTTGGAACTACATGATCCTTGAGGTCCCTTCCAACCCGGGTGATTCTGTGATTCTGTGATTCTGTGATTCTGTAATGCATCTTTTAATAATATTATTAAGCCTTTTGCACATGGATTCATTTGTTCAGCTTTTCCAATTCATTTTACAGTACACAAACATTATTCATAAATCTGATCGTTTGTTTTAGTGCCTTTTGCAAAATAAGCAGGTTGTGTGCAGAAAGTCTCCTGAAAATGCTATGCAAAGGTCCTTCTGTTAATACTTCTATTCCTGCTAATTATCTCCTGAGATAATTCTCTTGGACAAGTAGGAGAAGAGAGACACAAAGCTTATTCTGTATGCGAAAGATTGCAAAGGGAATCTGGCTTGGCTGTTCAGGAAATCATCACTTACTGGAGATTGCCACAAAGTCTCAGTGTTTCTGTAGAGGTGGTACTGGAACAAACAGGTTTCCAAAACCAAGGAACCTGAAATTGTACCTAGAGCCCATCCAGAATCACTTGGTGGATTAGTTTTCAGCCAAATCAGCTTGCTGAACCTGCTCACTTTGCAGCCATGGCTATAGCCTGGCTTTTCATTTTAGGTTAAGGTACTTTATTAGCATACTTGCTCTTAGATTTTATTTTTTAAACAACTAATAGCAATAGGATTTTTAGTAAAATGAAGGCTTACCATGCTTTAGTCTTTCGTGAGTACCAACTGGTGGCTTAAGCAAAATAATTCGTGACTGACTTAGCTGCGGCGCAGATTCCAGTACGCCAGCAAAACCCTTGGCACGCCTTGTTTCACTTAGGGGGATAAAGCTTTGTTTTTGCACTTCTAAGCAGAGCGCTTTCTCTGCCGCGTTGACTCTTTGATCTTGCAACAAAGTAGCTTTCCTCTATTAGGAGTAGACCGCAGTTGTAGAGGGGTCTCGAGAGCAGTAGGTATTTCAAAAATCACTCAAAGGCAGTTGTAGGAGCCTTTGAGACCAAGACTGATTATAACATGCGTTTTGATTGACTGAAATGCCATTAATCCTTAGAAACTGTAGGAATAAATTGAAAAGAAAACACAATTCCACTTAAAAACAAACTTTATTTTTAAGGTTCCCGCTTTGGACTCCGATGGTTCACCCCGGCCAATGAAGTTCCCCTCTGTGGTCATGCTACACTTGCCTCAGCTGCTGTTTTATTTCACATAAAAAGTAGGCTTACAAGCTATTTGTTATTATAGTAGATGTTATAAAAATTGTTTCTAATTAAGAAAATCTCTCTTTTTGTACAATTAAGTCTTCAGAACATTTAGAGAACAAGTGTGGAGATACCTTAGGTATTTTCTTTTACCAAGTGCTGTCAGGCTGCAGTCTGATGTCTACACTTGTTCTGATGCCCCACTATCTTTCTTCCTAAGGAACAATGCTGAATATGCAAATGTCATCTGGGAATTTTGCCTTGCAGTACAAGTTTACTGAACTTATTGGATTTTATCTGCATAACTCTTTTGAACATACTAGGCTACTTTATGAGCTATAATAATTTATTTCAAGCTCTTATGTTTGATACATACTGATATGTTTGATAATGTTCTCTCTCTCTCTAGAAAACCCAAACTCAGTTCTTACTTTTGTGACTCTGAGTGGGGAATTGAAAACAAGACAAGAGAAAGACCATATTGTGCTGGACTTACCGCTTTACTCAACCTACCCACAGGTGAGGCAGGGTTTTGTTCATAAAAGGTTTTCAAGGAAAGCATCTATTTGCTTGTATGTGTGTTTGGATACATACCTACCTATTTTTACTTGGGTAGATAGATACATGTAAGTACTCTATGATCTACAGTTTTCTTTTTTTCCTTTAGGAACTTCGGGAAGTAGAAGAATTAATAAAGGTAAATATAATGAGAGATGTTCTCTTAGAAATGCATTTAAATGAGCTATATTAGAATGGCTGGATAGTGGTGAATTCACTTTGCTTGAGGCACTGTGCACGGAGGCTGAAAACTCTGAATCCTGTAGTTCAGGAGATGGAATTCTTCAATATGCTGTAGCTAAGCTTTGCCTTCTGCTGGCTAGAATGTCACATTTCATGGGCACTTTTGGCCTGCTGTATGCTTGTGAGGGCAACCTAGTGTCCTTGCCCTGTTCTTAGTCCCTGGATTTCTTTCCAGGCTGGCATACACAGAGCTCTTAGCACCTACCGTATCCATTCATGCACACAGTGCATTTGCTTTTCTTGCTTGTATGTACTGGAAAGTTGCATGAAGGATGTTGCATAAGCCCTATTCTAGCAGGGATTTTGTTATTGTAGGAAAATTGTAAGTAAATATTTTATTTTCTAGTGACACTGTTTCTTATTGTTTCTTTTTTTTTGTATCAGGCTGCCACTGGTGACATGATTGTTCAAGATCTCCGTTATTCTCCTGACACAAAGAAACTCCTGGTCCGTCTCAGTGATGCTTATGAAAGGTATCTGGTACTTTTTTGGAGCAAGTGTGCAGAAATTGATTCTTTTTGTTTAACCACTGTTCTTTACACACACGGCTCACTTATCTATTTTGAAACAGGTGGAGATTGAAAGCACAAATTCAAACTCCCACGTTAAATAATTCTTTAATCTTCCCTGTGAGCTTACGGAATCGGCAACTCTAAACAAGATTAGTCGGAAAACTGTCTTCAAGAAAGGGAGGCTTAGGAAACAGTTTTGGTGGTGGTGTCTTTTTGCCAATTTCCTGAGTAAAAAGTGGAACAGAAAACTGGGGGTCTTGGTTCTCAGCTGAAGAAGTATTAGTTACATAGCTGTACAGGTGCACTTAGTGAGACAGGACGTGCAGACAGAATGCTGTGGGTTCCTCTGCCCCTATGGCTGACTAATCTGCTTACACATACTTTACAGCATCATAAGTAGCTTTACAGAGGAAATTCCAATTCAAGTCATTTTGCAGCATTTGTTAATCTCGGAGACCTGAATTTCATTGTTATACTTAACAATTTGTTACATGTTGTCCAGACCTGAATTCTTTAATTCTTCCAAAATTTCATTTTTTGGGGAAATATCTGCAACTTACAGAATTGTAGAGTGCTTTAGAATTCTCTGATCTGAGTAATATAAACTGCTTGCTCATTCAGAAAGTAGGTGGAATGCTTATTGTTTGCATTCTGTAGTGATGAAATATTTTTTTCAGTAATGAAAAGGTTGACATGAAAGCATACATTTTTGGAGGTCATATTCTTGGGCACTCTGTTTTCATAAGTAGATAAGAAATGCATGGTTTGATCTTTTTTCCTCTGCTTGCTAGGGGTGTAGTATGCGTTCTGGGCAGTCATATAAAATGATGTTGAGAGGACAATGTTAGGGATCTTTCTACTCCAGCACTTTACTGTGGCTGTTCAGAGAGTGCAGGGATGACAATCTTAAGGTTTTTTGATGCTTTTCAAAACTTAAACTCGTGTTAAATGAAGAATATGGAATATTCAAATTCTGTAATTAAATTCAAGGTCTGTGCTGGAAGAACTACAAGTGGGTGCACAACGTTTTCTGTCAGCTGAAAAAACTGGGAAAGTGAAAGGACTCATACTCACTCTGAAGGGAAAGCCCAATGGAAATGACAAAGGCCATGATTTTTACTCCAGATATTTTGCACCTTGGTACGGCGTGCTGGAAGACCCTGTTACAGGTGTGTGAGCACATGCATGGGAAATGGCTTAGTCTTGTTTCAGTTCAAAGATGTTTATTGAACTTGATTCATGTGCCTTTATACTTCAAAGTATCTCTTCTAATGAAGTACTGTTTTCTGTGGACAGCAGGAAAACTTTCGTTATTGATTCCAAACTCGTTTAGAAAAATTCAGCTTCCTGCTGTCATCAGGCCAGATATTCCTGCCTCTTTGTTCATTACTTTTTCCTGACATATTACAATTAGATGTCAATGGTTTACGGGCTGGTTCGGCCCGGTTCTGTGATGAGCGGGGCGGAGGGATCCGCAGATCTGCGCCTAGAGAAAAAAAGGAAACAGGGGACCCCAAAATAGTTAAAAACAGTGGCACCGAACTGAGGAGAAACAAACTAATGTGCTAAGTATATTATCGGAATGCAAGATAACACACTATAGTACAATATAATCAGAATTGAAGCTAATAAATCAAATATAATGAGAGAGAGAATGTCTGAAAGGTGGATAGGCCTCACCACAACGCTGAGGTGAGATGCGCAGTCCAGTTGAGCAGCAGGGAGACGGGAGCAGCGCCCACCACGAAGGGCAGGCGAGAAAGAGCATCAGGTGACCTTGCCAGGAGTTAAACCTCCTCTCCCTGACCACAAGGTCCCCTGGGGAATGTAGTTCTCTTCAGGGCAGGTACCCAGGACTTGAGCATTAACAGTTAAAGTCCCAGTGCCCCACATGATGTTATGATGTGGAATACCGAAAGCCCAAAATCACAAAACCGTGGCAATTAGAGAAAAGCAAAAGACTACTTGTGCAATTCAGCAAGTACTATAGAAGAAGTTCACATACACTTCTGTCATTGTTTTGTATTTGTGATGCTTCAGCTGAGATCTCCTCTAGTTTAAGGACTCTTTATTGTGGATGTTCTCAGCCCTATGAGTAATACAAACTTAGCTAGTTATACTTTTAGAGGCAGAACTTCTAGTTTCTTTTATGTTCTGTGATGTTTGCTGCAGAATAAAGTAATGTTATTTGCTTAGGCATAAAGTGATCACAGACTAATAATTAGTCCGCTGAGAACTTGAGCAGAAAGTTTCATTACATATTTTGCTGAATAGAAAACTTCTTTATTGGAGTGGTGGTGGTTATAGTACACTTCTAGCAGAAGTCTTTATAAGGAAATATAAGCCACATGTTTCAGTTGTTTTTTTTTTTAACTTCCAGTCCTACTTTTCTGTTACAGCCAGGAGGCAGAGTGGTAGATGTATCTGATCCCAGAGCTTGTTTATTATTGTTATATAGGAAAAGCTAGATGTTTGCTGAACCTTTGAGATTCTAGATTCCTTACAGCTCATAGTTGCTTGTCTTGCATCTGTAAGTTCTTTTATAGAAACAACCTCTTCACTATATAGCTGATTTATACTTTTAACAGTGTTATGACTTTGTATTATCTTTCTTTTGCAATAATTCCTTAACCATTATATATCCTGGTGTCCCTGAGCCCTGATAATTACACTAGCTTCATATCTGGGTTTCCTGCAGAATGTCTTTGCTGATAGCAGCTGATTTGCACTGACACAACACGAATCTGAGAAGTCATTCTGGTCATTTAAGGTATCTGCCCATTGGGATACAGTAACTTGGTTTTCCAGAGGCTGTAGCAAGATCTTAAAAGATCTTGAGCTACGTCCTGATGCTTAACAGTGATTCAAGACTGGGGGAAAAAAGAACAAACAGAGTTTTGTTTGTGAAAACTGTTAAGGGAGGGAGTTTTTTCTTTTTCCATAGTGACTTCTATCCACCTGTTCCTAGTCTTAAAGAATATTCAAAAATCGTTTCAGTTTTTTTTCTTGTGGTTTTTGCTATTTGTTCTATTGAATAACATACTGTCGAGGTAAATAATGTTACTGAATTTTAATGTTTTGAGATTCAGTTATTAGGAAAGCTCACTTGTTTACCAGAAGTCAATACTTTGGCTCAAATGTTATAACTTATACTATCTATTATTCCTGAGGCTAATTACAAAGCCCTTAGGCAAAATTTTCATTGAAGTTGGAAGATGAGGAAGTAATACTGCTTGATTGTAAACAAATGAAATGCAGAAGCCTTAAGTTCTGTTTGCTTTGCAAAATCTAGGCATTTTTACTCTTAAGTACAAACATGGGACATTCAATCTGTGTATGGCATTTGCATTTTGAATGTAATCGCTCTATAAAATAGTGATTCTAATTCTGTGCTTTTCGTTCCAATTTCTTTTAAGGATCTGCCCATGCTGTTCTAAGCAGCTACTGGTCAGAGCAGCTGGGAAAGAAAGAAATGCTTGGTAAGAGGAACTGTTTTCTTGCAAAGCTGTTCATCTATTTAAAAAAACAAAAACAAAAAAACTACAATCCAAAATATTGTAATAACTCCTTATATGTTTCTCAACTTCAATAGTAAATTTTTTTTCTGAGAGGTAATCCTTAAGAAACTGCTTTCTTTCCTACCTCCCAGTGTGACACATTAAGTCTGTAGGGAATCTGAAGTATATGGACCATAACTCTGTGGTTGGTTTTTGATCTCAACTTTTGTATTTTTACTGTCATGAACTTTCATCATGACTGAAGCTTGGTGAACTTTAGTTGATGTTCATTGTGTGTTTTGACTGAATTGTGCTTTGCTTCTTGCTCCTTAGGGCTTGCTTTTTCTTATTGGGAAGAGGTATCAGTCACTATTCTCACTCACAATCTGTATACGTCTCAGTACAATGTAGAAGCATGGAATCATAGAATTTCCTGTGTTGGATGGGACCCATAGGGATCACTGAGTTTTCCTTTCTGTTCATGTATATGTTGAGATGAAAAAAATGGTTCTATCTGAATTAGGGATTTTTAAACGGAAATTAGTTACTCGAGATTCCTTCAATGAGTTCTTTAGGAAACTCATGATTTAAAGTGGCTCGTATTTTTATAGCTAGATAAGAGGAGACGTGCATTCAGATTGTACTTAAAGGACATGCTTTATGGTACAGTTTTTTCTTCTGTCCTAAGATCAGTTTTCTCATATGATGATGTTTTACATAGTAGCAGGAAAGGATAGAACAAAAAGCAATCAATTTAAATGTATCTAATATTAAATATTTAAATGGACACAAGGTGCATAGGCACTGGCAACTTCATTTGCTTGTAATGAGTGTGATTTGCAGTTCTACTCTTGAGATGACCGGATCTTAAGTGAAAGAGCAGATTTATTATTGGTAATTGTTTTGTCTTTGGAAAAGTTAGGCTTAGTGGATCACGTATTTACTGCTAAGCAAATAATGAAGACCGTGATGGGGGAAGAAAACCTGGGAGAAACGGTTACACTTGACAAGGCTAGATGGAGAGACATTGAGTGCTTCTTCACTTCTCATGTTTCTGTTGCTTTGCTAGAAAGTGGAAGAACAGAAGCAATGTGAAATACCCTCCTAACCCTCTGGTTCCCTTGCAGGGTGGTGATGTTGGTGTTGAAAATACTGTTCTTTTATGCGCTTGTTCTCAAAGACATGATTCTTGTCACTTAGTCTAAAACAAAAGTTGGATCCTTAATCTAATAGGATTTCTTGTTCCCTAAAGGAAACGTCTTTCAAAACAAACAGCTACCTTGAATATAAGCTTTCCTATATTTAGCCAAATGAATCTGAGACCAAACTTTCCTTGACACTGATAAGCTCTTTAAAGGATCTGCTAGACCTCCATAGCTTGATGTGGTAATCCACAGTGACTGAGACTTTTCCATCACGAGTTGAAGGAAAAGTTTTGCAATCTGTTCTGAAGATCTCTTGCTTGCATTTGTATCATACAGATCTATTATGATTTCCATGAAGCCGGGGAGTGGTGGGGGAGAGGGGAGGGAAACACCATACTTTTTGAAAAGAAGAGGTGAAACTGTCTTTGTCATTGTATCCAGATGGACTGGCTGTTTGTCTTGGGATTATAGAATCATAGAATGGCTTGGGTTGGTAGAGACCCAAGGGCTCATCAGGTTCTGACCTCCTGCCATAGGCAGGGCCACCACCCTCCAGACCTGGTACTAGAGCAGGTTGCCCAAGGCCCCATCCAACCAGGTCTTGAGCACCTCCAGATGGTAGTGTGGAGATCAGAAACTTTCATCCCACTTGTAGACAGTGTTTCATTAAATAATCAGTCAGAAATTCTGTCTGCATTTTTAGGTGGCATTTTTTACTTTTATGTTTTCATGTGTTTTACATGTACCATGTTTTACCTCTTTTGAGAAACTGTCTTAAGCTGCAAAGGCAACTGATACAGTAACCATCTCCTCTAATATTTTTATTATTTATTTTATTTTTTATTAAAACAAAAAAAAAGTCCCATATTGCCACAAGGTAGGATTTTTTCATTTTTTGTGCAAATATACCTATCACAGTCTAAAGGGCTACCTGGCAAGTAGGTGGATGGAGATCACAGCAGTGGGTTTGTAGAATTTTATTACATACAAGGACACATTAGTTTTATTTCCTGTATTTTTCTACTTGAGTACAAATCACCTCCGAAGATTCTACCTATGATTAGTAATGCAACTGTATATCAACCTATTATGATTTCTGAACAAGAAAGAAAGTGCATGCATTTTGTGTATATGTATATATACATATATATAAGATGAATATAGCAGCAGCAAATAACGTAGCAGCAAATACATACTGAGGTATTGCAGGTTATTAAAAATATCTCAGTAGTAAAATAACAGTAATGCTTACAATTATTTGCCTACATGTGCACATATATTTAAAATGTTACTGGTAGTGAGTGCTATCAAACCATTCCCAGAAGTGGGTGTCAAATAGACCTCAGAAGGGTCTAAATAAGAAGAGTTTGCCCCCCACAAGTAGGATCATATAAATAATAGACAGTCTCACTTTGAAGGCAATCACCTTTGTGTCATGGGCTTTTGGGGTCATTCCCAGCAAAGATTTGGTTTGTTTAGGAAATTCTCTAGGAAAAGGAAAAGTTTCTGCAACACAGGAACTACTCAAAGAGGCTCTGTTTTGCTTAGAAAATAAGAGATTTTAATATGACAGACACATGAGCGTACAGTTTAGGGTGTACAGTGCTGCTTGTTTTTTTCCCCTGAGACAGCCAGTATAGCTTCCTATCCTCTCTGACATTTTGCTTTCTCCCCGCTTTTTTTTCTTTTGGCTAAAGTGGCCAATACCAGTTGCTGATTCCTACTGTCCCAGGCTGGTGTCCCGTTTCTCCTGACAATAATTTGCAATTACAGTTCCTTATTTTTCCGTTATGGATGACTTTTCCAGCATGTCCACAGTTCTGAGGCATTCAGCCTTGGAAAAGCCAGCTGTGCCTTTCTAGGTGTGCTCCTGACTCACAAGCCTTGTTCTCAGGCTAGCTGTCAGTATTTTTCCCATAATAGACAAATATCTTTTATGACTGCTGCCATCAATGCCTTGTTTGTTTGTTTATTTGTTTTTAATATGTGTGGTAGAAATGATACAAAACAGATTTAAAGGGGACAAATTCATATGGCCTCTTATCAACCTGTGGTTTTTTTGGTAAGTTCAGAAAAATCTTTTCCTTCCATGTGCATGGAAGGTTATCAGGTATTACTGGAGTGAATTCCATTTGTGATGCGGCTATTTAGAGAAGGTGGCAGTCAATATATCATTGAAGGTTGATAAGTTAAAGCATCTCTTGACTACTTAGAAACTTCTGCAGTGTCTCTGCGGTATCTTTTATTGCAAGAATAAAGGTTTTCTTCCATTTAAAATTGAAAGTCTTTTAGTTCCAAAATAGATGAGATATGAAATTGTATACAAAAAAAAAAGAGGAACATTGTATTTGTTATCAGCTCTTTCTGGGTATTGTGACCTCTAGGAGGAGGTCAGCTACATCTCTGCTGAAGTATCAGACATAATATCCTGTGTCTGGGTTCTCTTCCTATCTTTATTAAACCAAACTGTCAAACAACAAACTCTCAATAACTGCAAAGAGAATTTTCCAGTCTTTTTACAAGGTGAGATACTTTACTCATTTTTCCTGGAGATATATATTTAAGATGTGTCAAATGGGAGTTTGCTATCAGTCTTTATCCTTTTCTTCATTTGAGGAATTCCTGAAATAGTATTAAATATGTTTTTAATAAAGATAATTTATAATGTCAGATATTTTAGACTTTCATAATTGCCATTGAATGTAGTATTTACACTATTTAGCAGTTGTATCTGTATACAGTTTTTTGTGTATCTTTTATGTCATTTTGTGTATCTTTATGTCATTTATAAACATGCATAAGAAATTTAATACACCCAAACGTATTGTGAAAGATTTTCCAAATTTATTTAAAGAGAAGAGTTTTAATTCAGGGCAATTTTTAATGCTTGGTGAAGCTGGAGGGATCTTTCTGGACCTCTTTAATCCAGTTAACTAAATTAATGTGTGAATATAATTGCTTTTGTTGTTGCCTCTAACTTCTGTGATTGCTTCTGGGGTTTATGAGGAGTGGGAGGAAGCAGATCTTACTTGAACTGTAAGATCACCTTCTCAAAACATTTGCCAGATTTTCTTTCAACTTAAGGTCCTGTCTCTTAATGTTTTAGTCTCTTCCGTTTTTTTGTGAAGAAATTGCTTCATGAGACAGAATAAATCTACATTTGTTAGGTTTTTGCTCATTCAAAGATTCATGAAGTAGAGAGTTTTGCACAGTTATAATCACAGTTTTTAAATGATGAGATTAACTGGAAAGACAGACCAATAGAATTCACTGCTTTTTTTTTAGTATGTGTTCTTTTTCACTGGGCCGCATCAGATTTATGCACAAGTGTAGCATTTCTGCCAAAGGAGAGGTGTTTCACTCCATCAATCAGAAGATTTGTTGACCTTATTTTTTGGAATATAAGTCTCAGAGGTCTTAATTTCATTAAGTGATATTGAGTAAAGCCTAAGTACAAGGACTTTTTCATCAATCCTTTTGTAGGCATTAGAGATTTGGTCAAAACAATGATGATTTCTAAAACCAGGTATTTTTTCAAGAATAGCACTTGTTCCTGATTTGTCATTATCATGACATCACAAATAAAATCCAGTAGTTCTCAAATTCTGTAACCAATGCTCAAGTAAAAGGGCCTAGTCTAATAAGAGGCTCCTCAAAGCAATGGGTTGATGTTGGTGTGAGGTCACTGGCCCCCTTCTGAATGCTACATTACACGTAAGTGTGCTGAAGTTTTTTGTACATACTATTGAACTTTCCTCTATCTGAGGGTAATCACAAAGGAATTTAGGGCACTGAATTGAATTACTGTAGATAATTTTTACAGATCATAACATACTGAAATAGCTGCATGATCCAAAACGCATCAGAGATGCTTGAATCTCTCTGAAGACATTGCTATTAAATGAAATCATCTGATTAATGAAATATTCTGTGCAGGTCTGCTTTCTTTCAGTCACAGTGTGGAATATCAGTGTTTCTGTGTGAGAGAAGGAGAAGATGATCAAATATTATTTACGTATAGTCTTGAGCAAGATCTTTGTGGCTTTTTTCCTCTTATATTTTGCAGGTTTTTTTTTAAATGAAACAAAATGGAGCAAAATCAAATTAGTAAGTCTGCCATGAAAGAGACAGCACTGGTTCCACATTTAAAGAAGGAAAAACAAAATCTAACCAACCTCTAAGTTCAGAAATAATTTAGCTCTTTTCTTTAGATCTGCTATCTCAAAGAAGTGGGAAAATTCAGCTGTGTATCTGTACTTGGCAATAGTAGTTCACCAAATTTAGTGTGGCATGGACCATTAACAGCCCAAAATATTATATTTGAAAGCATTTGTTCGTACATACATACTGCTCTTGTTAAAATCAATAACTGGTAATTCATTGAAGAGAAAAGACCAGGAAGCATCCATAGCAGTCATATAGCTCCTATTTGCACTGTTTTGGGACCCTTTGCTTAGTCTAAGAATCTGATATCCTTGCATAAATAAGAGCTTTCTTGTCAACCGTGGCTAAGAAATGATCTGACAGTGTACAGCATATGTACCATCTGTTAGAGATCTCGTACACTGCCAGGATCCAAATACAATCTCTACCCTGTTATAAATTAGGATATCATGAGGATATCATGTTCCCTTTAGCTTTGAACAACTCTTGCAGCTGGAATTTCATTAGGTAGAGAGACTAAACATCAGTGAATTGTCATCCATTTGCAGCCTTTTACAAAAGCAAAACATTATGAAACTCTAACCTTTGCTAGATGCCATCCTAACCAGGCCGCTCTCTGACCAAGTAGTTCTGCAACTAACATTGGACTGACTGAAACAAGACTGCAGAGTCAGCATGCCAAGCATTATCTTCTCAACTGAGTATGACTAAAAACACTTTCATTAAAAAAATTAGATTTATGATTATTTATCAGTGGAAAGATTTTATCATTAAACTTTATCCAAGTGTATTAAATGATATATTCAGGATTATGTGAAGTTATAAATTTGTTCCTGTCTGTGTAAGACTTTTGTCTCAGTTTGTGACAGCTGAAGCAGCATCTGTATTTCTTTGCAGACTTTTTCTGCTGGTTACTTCAGTTTTACTTACTCATTAACCAAATGTGTTCTTAGAAGCTAGTGTCTAGTTCTAGTTCACTACCTGTGAAGTGATTCTTTCTTCTTAAGCAGATAATAATATTCTTCCTTCTTGTCTAGGGAAATGGTCTATCTCATGAGTGGGTACATTAAGACATTTTTAGATGTGCAAAGAAGACTCAGTTCATTACAACAGATTACATGCTATTACATACCACTTTGTTCAGACTCTTATGTCGAATTCTAGTCTGAGATACAGAGGCCGTGTTAGCCTGAATTTTCATGCATTTTATAAAAATTGATTTGTAATACTAAAGTTTTAACTCTGGATTCATGTTACTCTTGTTTCCATTCAGCTTTTCAATGTTCTCGACGTGGAGGAGAGTTGAAGATTTCACTTCATGATAATGGAAGAGTTGAAATTGCAGGGCAATTTGCTATTGTATTGAAAGGAAACTTGACTTTATGAAGAAACTGACACTAACAGTATCATGTATCACACCTTTATATTACTCATATTGTGTTGATTATATCTTAGTTTTAGGCAGAGCACTACCACTGTCCTCTAAAATCTTTGATTACTTATTGTCCATTTTTAAAAATTGCTTGAAAACGTTCACTTTTAATCTTGAAGATCCCTGGTATCGTTTCCTTCACTTTCATGTCAGGATTTCATCTGTAAACTGATCTCAGAAATTGTCCAAGGACATCCCTCTTATTTTTCTGCTCTTAAATAATTCTTTTTTTCTTTTTTTCTTTTTTTCCCAGTTTCCACATTAAAAGTCACTTGACCTTCTGGATTGATTTATAAACTTCTTTATGTGACAAAACAATCAAACTGACTATAGCCAGCTTCCTTTCTCTGCCACATATTGAAATGATTCTTATGTTCATTAATTTACTTGAATTAAAACATGAAGAAAATACAAAAGGTTTGGAAATAGAGCTCTTTTTTATGAACAGTACTTTTCATGGGTAAATGTAATTGCTGTGACTTACAGTTCTGCTTATTCAACACTTCACATTTATAATAAATTTAAGAGATTGGCATAGTGATAGCCTGAAGACTGTTAAAAAATGGAAAAAAAGAAAATGTTATTGGTTACTGTAATGTCACTTACTTTTGAAGGACTGAGGATTTACTCATAAATTAAAAGTTTGTTCTCTAATATTCTTCAGTGAGCATGCTGATTCAGATGTCACTTTTTCCTTTATTGTTCTTATCTTTTTCTGGGTTTATTAGGAATACCCGAAGTAACTGAGTTACTCCAGCTGAAGTTCTGTTTTCCCTTTCAGATCATCTTTTTCCTGAACTTTGAATTAATTCCTTAATAGAGTCCAATCCCCTGCTGAAGCAGGTTCCCTACAGTGTGTTGCACAGGAAAGCATCCATGTGGGTTTCGGTTATCTCCACAGAAGGAGACTCCACAACCTCTCTGGGCAGCCTGTTCCAGTGCTCTGTCATCCTCATAGTAACAAAGATCTTTGTTGTGTTCAGATGGAGCTTCCCGCATTCCAGTTTGTGCCCGTTGCCCCTTGTCCTGTTGCTGGGCATTGCTGAAAATAATCACAGAATCCCAAGGTTGGAAAAGACCTTCAAGATCATGCAGGCCAACCATCCACCTACCACCAGTAGTGCTCACTAAACCCTTTCCCTCAACACAAAATCCAAACGTTCCTTGAACACCTCCAGGGTTGGTGACTCCACCACCTCCCTGGGCAGCCCATTCCAGTGCCTGAAAATAATGTGTTGTGAATTCAAAGGCGTTGTCACAGTGTGGGAACAGCTGAATCTTATATACAGTCCTTTATAAATGCTGAAGAACTTAGTTGTGACAAATTATTGTAGTTACAGATATTTTGAATTTCAACACTTTTAACTCACTGAAGCCCAAGTATCTGGGGGCAAATAACAGAGTGAAAATCCTAGGAGTTATTTAAAATATAAGTTCCTTGTTATTGTGACTGCACAGAACTTACTGAGTATGTGATTTAAATGCCACAATGCTTGAGAACTAGGTGGCAAGCAAATCAACACATTGAAATGCATGTTTTCCTGTATTCAGGCTTGCTGAAGTTCAGGGACCTGATATACAATTTATAAACGTGGAGTCATTGTAGGCAAGGCACTGCAATGGGGACAGCTCAACAGCAGTGTCGCAGTGGCATGTTTTGCAGTCACCTTGATCTTGTCTTCTCATAAAGCAAATCACCGCTTTCCATTTAGTGCCTTAGACCTCCTTGAGCCCTCCTGCAAGCTTGTTTTGCTGCATTTGCTCCTTTAGTCTGGTTTATAAAAGTGTGAGTCTAGTCCATTGTCTGAGATGCTTTCAAAAAAAACAACAACCCACCTCTTTAAGAATATAAATGATCTAAAACAGCAATTATTGTTCATCTGTTGACATTTAACAAATAGTACTTTTTTTCTTTCTTTCTTTCTTTTTTATTTATTTTCCCAGGGGATGCTAATAATGAACAAAGGCTGGAAAATTTTATATATCTCTGCTATCTAAATTTCCTGACTAAATGAATAAACTTGCTGCTTGATGCATTTTTTTTAATGGTTTACTACTACTTAGTCTCTTTCAGTTCTGGATAGAAAAATCACCAGAGCTCAGGTGGGATACTATGCCGTAATGTGTTTTTAATCAACAGATTAGTTAATCAGCCATGATTAATTAATGATGAATTAATTATACCTTATTGTGCAGTTCTGCTGCCTAAATTGAGCTTTAAAGGAGTTATTTTATTAATCATCATTGTGCTAATTGCAGACACTTACAGAAGGATCGCTAATTAAACATGCAGCCATATGCAAAGCAAGCAAGGCTGCTGAGAGTGGCAAGAAAAAGAGCATTGATTTTCTAAGTAGCAACTTTATTGTAATGAAATATTGTACAGTTGACCTGCTGATCCTAATTACTCACTAAGACTTATTTTAGCACATTGCACATTTTCAGTCAACGGTAAACAAAATTGTTGGAACAAATTTTGTCTGACTTTCCTAATGGAAAAAGTATATTGTGTGAACTTCAAACAAAATTAGTTAGAATTTGTGTGGTCTTGTTTCACATTTTCATTCAAAGTTTTTACCCAGTAGTTTTGCTAGTGATATATTGTTAATGAAACTTAACTGACTTAACTTTGAACAAGATTCTGGATGCTACTTGATAGTTGCTAGCTTACCATGATGCCAGATGTAATGTTCATTGCACTTGAAATAAGTACTGAGACTCAAAGTTACGTGAGTTTTGCATCAGAAAGAGGAAATCTGAAATTTAAATTAATTTCTAGGAGCCAAATTTAGCATGGAAAAAGCAGAAAGCAGACATTACTTAAAGATGGGTTTCTGTGAAGAAAAGTCATCCTGAGCTTAAGCAGCGCGATTTGTGGATCGTTGTGACTCTACAAGATTTGGCTGCAAGAATTTCATGGAGATGCCATCATTGCGGACTTCCTTCTTTTTTATGCAAGTTGTTAGGTCTTTCACGTTAATTAAATACAATTTAATTTAAGAAACATTTTTGTTGGACTGACTATATAGTATGATTTAAATGATCAGTGTAAAACTCAAGTGTTTACTATACAAATTTCTGAAATAGGATCATTACAAGGCTCTCCATGTTTTGAATAAAGATCTGGCTGGATCCAGGAGCCAAGACATGAAAATTTCAGCCCACTTGCTCACTTTACTTCATTGTTGTGTGCTTCAGAAGCCCAGCTCATGTAGCAGATGGGAAAATGTACATGACTTAGAGGAAGGGAGCAGAATAAGAAAATAATCAATCAAACAATAGAAACTGTTAATCTGCTGCTATAGAAATGAAAGTATGGATAAAAGGG